ACTCTGACGCCATGAGACTATTGTGTTATTTAAAAGATGAACTCTCCCGATAATGACAGTTTAACCAATTTAATTATATTTTAGTTTCATAAGTACTGCAAAAATATTTGTAATAAATAAGCCGTCTTTAAATTTGCATTTGCATTTATTTATCACTTATTGGAAAATTGATTTTTATTTAATTCAACCAGATGAATCGTAAGCAATTATATTACGTTGATATGAAATGTAAGGGTCTTGAATAATTAAATAACGTAACTATGCAATAAGATAGTTTACTCTTTTTATATTTAAACATTATATTGAACTTTAAGGTTGTAAACATGAAATATATTGATGGAATACCGACAATCGTAGAAAATTTAATTTATCCAAACCCGCATTCATGTCTCCTCGTTTATGCATTCGAAATCCTTAATGCAATGTTTAGTTGGTAGAAAGAAGAAACATATTTTATCAAAGAAAGAAGATGCTAGAAGAAAAATGGAAAAAAAAATACACTTATCTCATTTTTTAAAATATATTTATACTTTTTTAAAAAACTATTTTCTCATATATGAAACATGCAATAATTAAGTTTAAGAGAGAGATCTCCATTTGGCCTGAAAGCTTGGCTTTACTGCTCGAAATTCATTGGGAAATCTTGTTGATTCTGTCAACCCCAACAATCGAAAATCCCCAAAATCTCTGTTATTTTCTAAAACTCATTGAGATTTCGGGGCCTTAGCACCTAATTTTGATGGTATTTGTGGTAGAAAAGACAAAGAAGGGGTTGGTGAAGTAACATGCATGGAGTCCCTTATTAGTCAGGATGATTCACTTAAACTAGAATTATATCAAAATTAACATGAATATATCACTGTATATGAAGGTTACTGTTCAGCTTCACATGAGATCTCATCCGTCGAATGGATAGACTTTCTTAAATATGTCATTTTCTGTTGACTAACGAAAACAATGTTATCGCTACAGGCTATAAGCTCGTATTAAAATATTCTGCTAAAAAACAGCTTGTATAATCCATCATGAGGCATCGGCTCTAAAATAAAATCGCAGGCGATAATGCAAAAAGAGAATGAGACGGTGATGAAGGAGAAAGTAAGGAGAAATTTGGCTGGCTATAGCCATGAAAAAATAATTAAGGAGACAGAATAAGTTAAGATTAATTTCAGCCATAGACGTGAAATAAGACCTAGAGAAATTTCTCGTGATAGCCAGGTTTTGAAAAATGGAATTGGATGATCGATATTCTATCACATACACGTGCTTATATGGCGGCCCACAAGAAGTCAAGAAGCTGCAGTAGCAACGTTCAATCAATTCCCTGGCTCGTAAAAGTCTCTACCTGGGTAAGATTAAGGATATTTAGTTTAGATCCGTCCCGATTGATTCGGTATCGTCCCGATCATATCAGGACTAGTATTATTTCGATTCAAAAATAATCAGGACGGGACTTTACGAGACGAAACAGGAAAGGGAATTACCATTAGAACGTCCCGTCCCGTCCCGTCCCGAATATTATATATATTATTTTTTATTTTAAATATATTAATTATATTAATATAATTTATACTTATCTTAGTTATATCAGTTATAATTTCAATACTTGCAATTCTTATTTAAAATTAAAGTTTTTATATTGATAATTTTAATAACATGGAATAAATATGGTGATATCTTTCTTTATGATTTATTAATTATATTAATATAATTTATTCTTATATTTATATATTTAATAACTTTTATTTATAACATATTTCTTGCTTTATTTTTAGAAAAGTAATTAGTTTAGTATATCTCCACTAAAGTAGAAAAATAATAATTTGATATTATCGCCTGTTGTTACTACTCTTATAGCATAAAGATCACTTATATTTGCTATTATAATGTGTAGTTATGATTAATATAATTCAATCATTGATTTTAAATTATTGTGATTTATGTACTTGTATTGTTTTGATTTTAAACTTAATAAATCAAATAATTTAAAATTTTAATGAATATTATTATTCAGATCTTTTTTTAATATTATCTTATTTATAGGGACGGCAGAATGTCCCGATCTTGTCTCAATTTCATCCCGACTTTTAACAGGACGAGATGACTTTTAGAATAGAACGAGATGTAGGACTAAAATTTAGTTTTGATTTTTTTTTTTGGATGGGACACGGGACGGAAGTATCCTAATCAAGTCCCGTAAACACCCCTAAGTAAGACTATAAATTATAGCAGGCTCTTCCCATCTCTCTCCCTTGCAATTGGCGCATGAAATTAAACCTTTTGCTTAAAATTAAATCACCAAGCACTAATTCTTATTAGCGGAGAGTATTATTTGTTCTCGTTGTTACACGTATGTGGGAATTAAAAAAAAAATGGCAAGTGAGCTGCGTTAAAAACAAAAAACAAAGAGGCAAGTGATAGAAAAAATGGAGTGGTTGAACGCTGGCCGTTAAAATATGGCAAAAACAAAGCAGCGATAGGGATGTCAGTGGACCCTGGGATGTTTCCAAGCGAGTTTTCAGGTCCGCTGATCACAGCCGTTGATATCATCACATACAAAATTTAAACGGTCCCACACTGGGCAGAAATGTGACACGTGGACGGTTGCATTGTGCATACAAGCTACCTTGACAACTATTAGAAATTGTTTGAGGGTTGACGATTCCGCAGTCCCGAGTGTTAAGTAACGGCTTTAACAATAAAATATAACATCATGTAATGCTCTTCTATTTAAAAATATAAAATATTTTTAATTAAATTTTATCTCAATAAAATAATTACTTATTTATTAATTAATTTTATTTTTATTAAATATTTTATAATAAATATAAAGTCATTATCAACAGGATACTTAAATAAATAATGATTACATTTAAAAAAATTAAAAATATTTTATATTTTTTAATATTTAATTTTTTAAAAAATATTTTTATAAATAGAGAGAATACCATTTATTCCATATATACATATGTAGACTTATCAACACACACTGTCGTGCATGTTTTCTCCTTCACTTTTAAATTCTGTATTCACTACTGTATTCACTACTGTTAAAAAAAATCCCTGTTTATTAAACAATATATGAATGGCGAGAGGTTAACAAATTTATGCAAGATGACCTGTACACGTGTCTTTGTTGGTTGTTTGCACTCCGGCTCTGGGGTTTTTTTTTTTTTTTTCAAAAAGCCATGATCAAATGTATCGACACAATTAATTGTGGATTACCAAGAACGAATTAAGTTCTATCAAAATTAACTATTTATATTCCAGGAAATAAATTTTTACATGTACTATTATTTTGCTGAACTCTGTTTTAAATTGAATTTATTTACAATCATGAGACGTTGAAATAGATCACAAACATTTTGCAAACCTTACTCGGATGTTTTACACGACCACGATGATGGCCCCGCGTTAATTAATTACTTAAATTCACAAAGCGATAACGTTATTTTTTAAAGATTTCATTGTTAAAATTATTGTGTTTAAAATAATGGGGATTGTTATTAATAAAAAAAATTAATTTAAAATTGACTAGATTTATTTTTTTGAAGAGACTAGACAGGCGTGCGTTAAAACATGTACTCTATATTAAGACAAGGTTCAAGCTAGACTGTTCGGGGCAAATGAAAAACGTATGGCATAATAATTTCATGAAGGCATTGACTTTTGTGAGGTGTGTCTATTTTTTATAATGACTTTGGGATTGATTTAGAATTTAACATTATTTAATAGTGAATGCTCCCCATTTGCCAAAAACAATACTTGATGACATTTACACAGCAAATGATGGCCCCAGTCAATGTTATATATTCTCCAAATTGATTAATTAAATCGGTTCATTTAGACGATAATCATGTTATTCTTTTAAAATATTTTTTTATTACCTGATATACATTATTGCTTGGAAGTTGAGACAGTTGAAGGATTATAAGGGGCCACGAACGCCATTTTCACGCGTGGAGTGAATAACCTGAACTCGTAACATTTGCGTTGTGCCTTCAAATTCCTGGTCAGAGACTATTCTTTAAAACACACACACACACACACACAGTAATTGTGTGTAATTAACTAATCTAATTCTCAAAGTCAATTTTATTGAAGTTGGGAATGGTGCTTGAACAGAAGAATTTTCAGCAATCCATTATGCCGAGTTAACTTACATCGGCAAGCCATCCATAAGACCCAAATTATTTTATACATTGAAAACGAGTTACAATGATGTCCTTGAAATAAAATAACGGGAAAAACTGAAAAACGAAAACGATATGCAAGATTCAACTCGTAATAACATTATTTTAACAATTAAAAAAAATTATACATATTGGCTAAAAGGGTTTTACTAAGAAGACAGGGGAGTGAAATTAAATATCTCTTTCCAAACCATAAAGGGACGAACATGTTAACTCTCCAAAGTTGACAAGGGATCTCCAAATAATAAATTCCGGAAGAAATGTTTTTTTTGCTAGTAAATTAATTAATAAACTAATAAAAAATTACTCCTAAAAGTGTAAAACATTTTTTTAAAGGATTTAAATATTAAAAATATAAAATATTTTTAGTGTTTCAAGATATGATTAATGTGTTTTTTTAAAGTAACCTTAATAAATAAATTATTTTATATTTATTTTAAAATGAAACACTTTATTAAATAAAAATAAACATAAAAAATTAATTTAAAAAATAATAAACTATTTTATTGAAATATGATTCAATAAAATTTAAAAATATCTTAAACGAAGGAGTATGATACAGCTACCTTTGAAACAAATTTTTTTTTGAAAAAAAATTGAAAAAGAAGGTGAAAAAGAAGGAGGAGTGAGCTACGTGTAAGCTTGCATGAAAATGTCAATAGTAAAAGTCGAAGAAAGAGAAAGACTTTTCGGTTATTTAGGCCAATAAAAAAAGAGAAGGCTAGACAAGGAAGACATGGGTGGTATTGTTTCTGCCTAAAGTGGTTTTTTCCCCTAAATGAACAAAGACAGTTTCTCTTACACTTCGCTGCGTTTTCTAGAGGGGAAGAGAGAGAGAGAGAACCGCTTCATCTGAAACCTGTATACTAGTTGGCAGAGATGAGAGAGAATTAAGAGAGAGGGGTGGAGAGGTATGAAAGGAAAAAGAAGCTTTGTCTTTTGTACCCCTTAATTCGCATTTAATTTAATTCATTTCTATTCTGGCTCTCTCTCTCTCTACCTAGCTCTTCGACCATAACCGACTCTCTCACTCTCTCTCTCTCTCTCTCTCTCTCTCTCGGCGTGGTTTCGTGGACGAAGGAGAAATGATTTTATGTGGAAGAAACAGAAGGCGGTTTCGCCATTAATGGGGTTCGGAGAGCTAGTAGCGCAAAAGACAAAGCAGCTTCTAGGTTCATCCAAGTCTCGCCATGGCGTACAGCGCTAACAAGACCAACAACCACACAGGCACTCAGATGGAACCACTCCCACTCCCACCACCTCCACTTCTTCATCGCCATCCTCATCAAATTCAAGACCACCGAATCTCTTTCGGAATCATGCAATCTTCTCCGTCCTCCTCCATCCCCGCCAATTTTCTGTGAGCCTCTTCACTCTACTTTCGCAACGATCTCCGCTACCTCTTTCATCTCTTTTATTTTTCTTTTACTTCTCTTTTTAATTGTTGTGTGCTTGTGTTTGTGTGTTGGCGCCGCCAGGAGCAAGGATTCCGGAGCTTACGATTTGGGCGACTTGGATCAAGCCCTCCTCTTGTATCTCGACGGACAAGCTGAACCTTCCTCCATTAATGTTCAAGACCAAAGACGTGAGCTTTTCTCTTCTTCCGGTTCTAATTTCTTTGCGTTTTTCTATAAAAAAAGGGGAGTACGCTTTTCTTCTACATCTAGCTTTTCGTTTCTGATCGGAGAGAGATGGGCTATTCGACTCACATGGGAAGCATGTTCGTCAAATTCATATCTGCAGCCGCAGTACTTCCTTTGACCCGATCTTTGCAGGGAGGGAGGAAAAGACGAGAAGAGAAGATATGGAGCGAGGACATTGATCAAGTCTCGAAAAAAAAAAAGAAGCAGCAAAAATTAAGAGGAAAAAAAAAAATCTCCCCCCCCCTCTCCTTGTCATTGATTTTATTTGTTTCTAATTTTGTTGCGAAGAGGTGAAAGATCATGACATGTAACAAAACGGGGTGTCATGATTATTTCCTCGCTAATTCCACATGTACTGAAAAGAGTACGATCGAATAGGGTATGGTTGCCCCCTGGCTTTACTTCTCCCTACTTTTTTCTTTTTTTCTGTTTGGGGGTGGCAGAGCTCCATTTGCATGACAATTCCCCAGATTTTGCTTTCTTCCCTCACACCTCCCTCGCCTTCCCTTTTTCCTTCTCACTCAACCTCCTCTTCTCTTCATCAACACCTTTTCCTATTTAACTCTCTGTATGCCCGGACCTTTCCTCGCCACTAGTAAAGCTCCTTTATTTTAGATGTGTACGTATATATAATTCATAATTTTACGTGTTACGTTTCTGAATTTTGTGTATGCGTATAAACGCGACTCCGCAGAGAACTCGTCATCATCCGGAATGAGGCCTCCGACTCTAAACATTTTCCCGTCTCAGCCTATGCACGTAGACCCGCCTTCGTCAAAGGTATGCTAATCCGAACCTCCGAGTTATATTTAATCATTTGCATTATTTGATTCCTGACGGAAACATAAATATTTTATGGTGGGCTTGTTTGTATTCGGTGACTGGCGCGTATATAGGCTAGCATGGAATTAGTTTCTCCTCAAAGCAGTGGTTCCAAGAGACCATCGGAGCCCTCCATGAAGTTGTCTCACTCGCAAAACGAAGTCGCCGCCGCCCCTAATCAATCATCCAAAGCTGTCAAGGTGACTTGTATATATAATAATTAACCCATAAATTTAAATTATCAAACGAATAGAGAAACCGAGAATCATCAGAGTTTGGTAGCATCTTTGAAATCCGAGATTACCAGCTTACTGATAGGATACATGTATGTTTATCATTTTTCCGACTATTCACCCTCGCTATGCATGTGCTATACATACATACATATATATATATATATATATATATTGCAGCGAGAGAGCACTCGGAAGGGCACGACCTCAAGTTCTGAACAGGAAGGACCTAAAACACCTGATCCTAAGGTTCCTATTTCCTTTCGCCTCCTACTAGCTAGCTGGCTTAATTCGTTCTTTGTATACATAAAAGAAAAAAGAATGTTTCCGAGACGATTAATGTTGAATGTTGCTTTTGACAAAATGTAATGCACACAGGCACTCAGAAGACTAGCTCAGAATAGAGAGGCAGCCAGGAAAAGCAGGCTTAGGAAAAAGGTGAAATCCCCACAAAATTATAATAATTTCATCTCAGTAGTGTTTCGCTCATTTTAGGCAAGACCTTTCAAAAGCTACCCGGGGCATGCCCATTTATTTATACGGTTTTAATGTTTTCATTGTCATGATATTTTCTGGGGATTTCAGGCATATGTGCAGCAGCTAGAGTCAAGTAGGATCAGGCTGAATCAGCTGGAACAAGAGTTGCAGCGCGCAAGAGCTCAAGTAAGAAAACTTTTCACGGAGGAAACCACGTAATGCTATAAATGGAAACCACATTGACTGATAGATTAAGCTGTAATAAGCTGCAACAAGAGGAGCGCTGACAAGTGACGGGTGTTGTATTTTAGGGCATATTCTTTGGAGGCTCGGGTGCACTTTTGGAAGGAGAGCAAGGCCTTCCTGTCGCCATGGGTAGCATTAGCCCAGGTCTTCCACACCACCATATATTAATTAGTTAAAATTAAACTCTCTTTTTCGTGTGTGTGTGTGAAATATATAACAAATGCAATGAATTTACTGTATTGGTAAAAAATATCATTAATAATAATGAAATGGACAGAAGCTACAATGTTCGACGCGGAATACGGGAGGTGGGTGGAGGAGCACCACAGGCTAGCGTGCGAGCTGAGAGCTGCCGTTCAAGAGCACCTTCCGGAGAACGAGCTGAGGCTATACGTGGGCAATTGCCTGGCACATTATGACCAGGTTATGAACCTCAAGAGCATTGTGGCTAAAACTGATGTCTTCCACCTTGTTTCCGGCATGTGGAAGACTCCTGCCGAGCGTTGCTTCATGTGGGTGGGCGGATTTAGGCCCTCTGAACTCATTAAGGTACTTCTTCGTTTATCACCTTGCAATGAAGTTGAAATAATATATATAAAAGGATCGCATGCAAATTAATGGGAGTCCGTTTTGTGGGTGTGTGGGGGCTAGCAAGGAAACAATGTAGTATGTGCTCATTTAATGACGAAAGATACAACGAATGATGGTGGTTTCCTGGAATGGGTAGAGTTAGGCTTCATTCCCATAAAGCCATTGCTTTCACTCTAATTCCTCTACTTGGAACCGGAATTTTAGAGGACAAAGAGAGAGGCACGGGTCTCTATCTTCTTTGTCTTCTTTCGCCGTCGTTGTCCATGGGAATAAAGTTGTCGTCCCGCATCCATTTCTTCCCTTGGGATTTAGTTAATCAATATATCCGTGTGTACATGTGTAAGTTTAACTAAAACACGTACGTTAATTAACAAATGGATTGAATGTACGTGTTGGTGATGTCATAGATAATTCTGAATCAAATAGAGCCCCTGACGGAGCAACAAATACTGGGGATCTGTGGGTTGCAGCAATCTACGCAGGAGGCGGAAGATGCTCTCTCGCAAGGGCTCGAAGCTCTGAACCAGTCTCTCTCGGAAACCATAACGTCGGACTCCTTGAGCTCTACCCCAAATATGGCCAACTACATGGGACAAATGGCCCTGGCCATAAATAAGCTCTCCACCCTCGAAGGTTTTGTCCGACAGGTACGCACTATCCTTTGACTCACTTTCACGCCAAAACTTCATTAACCAATCGACCACTAATGTATATCGAATCTGGTACGAGATATATATCCGTGGACATCCAATGATGTGCATGGTGCTGTGAACTGTACTACTGGTTAGTGGTCCCCCCGTATGCATGACTGCGATCAGACTTTTCCAAAACTGATCTCGTGATGGGGTCGAGTAGGAAAAATAATCTGTTGTGCTCTTTGGGTTAGGATGCCAACCCACTCTCGCCAACTGCTCCTTCCATGCATTTCTCACTCTCTTCGGTTTGTTACACGGGTTCTACATAGCATATAAACATGGATCATCATTTTTTTCCTATCACGCACATTAGAGTTTGGGGGACATTATACGTTGTTAAAATAACTCGTCAAAATTAAAGGAATCATTGTTTACTGTAGGTTTCGTCTGTAGGATTACATAAATGGAAAGGGAAACACACCGAAATAATAATATTTAAACGCAACCACATTATATGGTGCTTCGTTGTGCTTCATTATAAGGGGGTCTATTTAGATAGATGCACACGTGACACGAAGGCAGATTGGTACTTGTGGCCCCTCACTGAAATAACCCTCTTCGAGAGATACACACTGAGCCCCATATCCAGATGATGTCATGGTCGTAACCGTTTGACTTGGAGACATCTCATAATCCCTTCCCCATAACTCCCTTTGTTGAATATTTCCTCAAACTACAAACTCTCGCGTCCCAATGCTAACAAGTTAGTAAGGGTTCCTTCTAGTATGAGTGAGAATCCCCATGTTCATGAATTATTAGTGAGGATCGCTTCTGCTGTATAAATGAGAGAATTCCGATATTCATGAGTCAATAAACGAGAAAATCATAAAATATAATAAAAACTACTCAAACAAACACAAAAACGAAATAGATTTGGGGCCTTTTAAGAGAGATGATCTATGGATCAACGACACATAAAAATACAAACCAACCCTGTAGATCTAAATTCAAAGTTTCAAACAGCTGTGCAGGAGCAGAATTTGACTTGAGTATGCTGTCAATTAGTGCGTAAATGGTCTTACCGCCTAATTAATTAATTGGCTGGTCCAAATTAATAGTTTACTTAATTGAATTTGTTCCTCCAGATTTCATTATATTCAAACCATACTATATATGTCGTCTTGTGTTTACCAAACTCATGACATGACATTTATGATTAGTCTAAATCAATTAATGTGAACATGTGTTTTGATTCTAATTAAGACAATCCTATAGAACTGATGCCCCCCACATACCAAGTACAAGCAAGGGGAGAAAAGGGGGGTCCAAAAAGCTGGGCATGGTTTTGCAGCAGATACTAAATGTCATAATTTTTCTACGTAGGGCCTCAGGGTCATTAGGTTTGGTTCACCAACTATTTGTTTCTATGGGTGAATTTGGTTTCGTTTAAAGTCACCGAAGAACACAAGCACCCTCTTGAATTTTTTTTCTAAATTTAACCAATCAATATAGCATTTATAGGCGTTCAAACTAGCTCGAGGAATCCAAAATCATAATGATTAAAGCTTTAGCACAATTAAGCTACCCTTCCTGACCCGTAGGACCATATGTGCGCGCGCGCGCGCGAGTTGTGGTTTGACAAATCTGTAGAATTTGTACTCCTTGTCAAAAAATTGAATTGAACTAGCTCCTCTTTCGGTAGCTATGGGTTCACAAGGATCATGATTGCTGTTGTCATGTGTCCGGATACAAAAAACCAAATGGTTGAAAATATAATGTCTTGGTGTTGAAAAATGATCATCTGAGAAAATGTCACCTATGTTTTGGTTGACTAAGGATGCCTCTCGTAAACAAGAGTTGTCGGAAATATATATTATTTGTTCAATTCCAGAGCTTGAAAGAGAATACATTCACTGTACTTTGGCTCCTAACCTTACAAAATTCTATTGGTTGGTTTCTGACAATGCCATGTATAATTATAAAAACGAAGACAAATAATTTTCAAAAGCAACATGCATAAGCATAAGGTTGATGTTCTATTTTATATTATCATTTGGAATGACCGATAACTTGTGGTTGAAAAAAAAAATGAATGAAAAACTTACAGGCGGATAGTCTTCGGCACCAAACGATTCACCGACTGCATCAGATACTAACGACGCGTCAGGCGGCGAGGTGTTTGCTGGCCATGGCGGAGTACTCTTATCGTCTGAGAGCCCTCAGCTCTCTGTGGGTGGCTCGTCCTCGCCAGGAATGACGAGGGGCTACTTCTGGAACAAAGCGGCACAGTATAAAGTCACCGATCAGCCTTAATTATATTTATATATATACATAGCCATGACTAGTTGTTGGTAGCTTCTTCTTCATTTTCTGCGAGAATATAAATTGAATCAGTGGTATCTAATCCCTGTGCTGCTAGCTATCTTGAATTCGTTTCTTATCGAACTGTAAAGATATAGACAGACAGTTAATATAGAATTAAATGTTGACTCAGTTGACCTATATACCTCGACTCTCTGTGTCTCTGATCTTGATTCACCGGAACATGAATGAAAAAGAAGCAAGAAGAGTGATGAAAGAACGTCTATCATATGGCCTTTGTTAGGTCACTGCATGCCATTGCCATCATCTGACCGAGACTTTATCTAAGGTCCCAGTTTTATAATTTATTTCTTGGATCTTTCTTCCTCTTCCTTCTTTTGTTTTTAATTACTTGGTGGTCCGTTCTCTTGAGGTTGGCAGCAGACAGTCAATTTCTCTTGTCAGAAGCCAAATTTAAGTTAATTTAGGCACACATTTTAGTGCCGACTGTTATTAACTTACTGTTTTTTCACTTATTACGGTTCAATGGGATCTTTGTCTCTTCGGGAGACCCAAAGTGTGCAATCCTTAATAAGTTATTTTGACAACTTAAATAGTACATTTTTCATGCATTTTAATGAGATGTAAAGAATTATTCGACTATTTATGGTTTAGAATAAGATAATCTCCTTTGCAATGAATAGAATTTTTACTAAAAGTTATGTATTATGGATATAATTTGAATATATTGCGTATATTATTAAAGATCAATTGTTATATAGTGCCTTTGTCACCAATAAATTTAAGTTTTGTAATATCAATTTTCTATATTTTTAATATTTGACCGTGATGAATTTACCTCTTGCATACTGTACATTTTAAAACCTTTAAAATTAAATTTTAAAGTTTTAGTTGTAAATATTTCTTTATTTTACATCAACGTCCTTATAGGCTATAGCTAGATATAAATGTCTTGATTTTACACCGACATCCTTACAAGATACTCGATTGTCATTTTTAAAAAAAATATATGTATTATTTCTGAAGTCCCATTTACATGTTATAACCTCTAGTTATATTTATATATAAAAATAATTAATCCTCTTATTTAGTTACAATTCTTTCTTTCTTTGTGTTTTTTTTTTTCACTTGTATACTTCAGATATATAAAGTCATTTAATCAGTCACGCTGACGCTGAGTTCAGTGAAGTTTGAATTTATAACAAAATTGTATATTCTTAATTCGCATATAATTTCATATTAGTTTGAATTTATAATATTTTTCATTTTTACTAACCATACTCTCTTGCATTTCTTTCAAGCGTTTGAATTGCATATTAGTTTCAACCTATAACTATCTGACAAAATGTTAATGTCTCGAGGCAGGTCATCAGCAGAAGGGAATTTTTAATTAAATAATTTAAAAAGAAATAATATAACTTTTAGTCCCTCAAATTTATCTTAATTGTCAATTTAATCTTTTAAATTTAATTTCTATCAATTTAATCCTTTAAGTTTATTTTGATTATCTACTTGGTCCTTATTATTTAAAAGAGGGATTGCATAATTTGCTAATTTAAATAACAAAATATTGATAACAGTTATATAGATTAATGAAAAAAAAATATAATTGTTAGGGTAAGAAAAGAATAAACTCTGAAAAATAAAAAAAATAAAAAACACATTATAAGGATCATATTAATAAAAATTAAATTCACTTGAAAGCTAATTTGTTCTCATTTAGCAAACACGAACATGTGAGATCATCAAAACTCTTTATACATCAAATTATTTTGAGCATCAATTAATCTTAAAAAATTAAATTAATAATTGAGACAAGCTTGAGGGATTAAGAGTTTCATTATCCCATATAAAAATATACATGCTATTTGCTGAGTAGAATTAAGTTGCGTAGCTTTGTGATCTACGGGAAGGAACCAATAAACTATTGTTATTTTTGAACATTTTAGCTCTAAAACGGCGTCATTTAGCCCCCTCCCATGCCACCTACCGACCCACACTCCCGCACTCAGCTGACGAGCTCGCCGAACCTGAGCGCGTGTTTTGCATTCAATCAGGAGTAGAGTTGAGAATTTGAACGGATCGGGGGCCCGAATAGGCCCGAACCCGAACGGGCCAGTTTTTTTTTAAAAAGCCTGAATGACTAAGCCCGGCTTGAATTCCTTCGGGCTTCGGGCGGCCCGAATACCCGAATTTTATTTTTAAAATTATTTTTAATTAATTTTTTTACTTTAAAATTAATTATTTTATTTTATAAAAAATAAAAAATATATATTTTTAATACTTAAATGATGTTTAGGACTCAAATATATGATATTTTAGTAGAAAATAACTTAAAAATATATTTATTATATATTATATATTTTTAAAAATAAAAAAATTATTCGAGTATTCGGGCCTATTCGGGCCGACCCGAATAGGCCCGAACATAAAAAAACATCTCTTTTTTAAAGCCCGGCCGTGAAATTTTTTGGGCTAATTCGGGCTAGCCCGTCGGGCTCAGCACGAATTACCGGCTCTAACTAGGAGTAACTTTGGCCCCGGAGAAAAAAGAGTAACTTGCATTAATCACTTTTTTGCTTAATTTCTATCCTTATTTATTTTTCTTAAAAATGTACACTCAATTCCTGTTTCATTTATCTTTATCCAATTCAACCTTTATTTAAATATATTTATTACTATGATAAAAGATAAACTAATAAATATATCTTAAGAAAATCAAATTTACATTTTAAAGGACACTAACATGTTTTATTGAGCACATGCAAAGCCATATAGCTAGTAGCTTCTAGGTTAATGATCTTGTACTGTTTATTTGACCTTTAATTTTATCGAGCGGTAGGTAAATACGTTGTTTGAAAGGAAGGTATAAGCACTGTACTAAACTAGGGACTTTAAACGAGTGAGATAAATCAATGACCCATAATCTCGGAGATTAATTTTAATTAATTAATTAGTCAGTTAATTATTGGAATATCAGTTTTATTTTAAAATGAAAATTTTAATTATATTCAAATTCCAATTATCTCGACTTGAATTTGAATCCAAGATACATGCATTTGATTGATTGAATTTAGTTTGAATCCAACTTGAGTTTGATTGATTGAATTTATGGCAATGAAAGTTTATGAAATTGAATTCTTGTTGAAGCATTGATAAAATTTATTCCGTTATTTATGGGCCATTTATGTTCTAGAATGGCCCAATATCTCTAGAACATACGAAGGCCAGCGGAATTCGAAGGCCCATTGGCTCGTGTCCAGCCTGTGGGTTTCAGAATGCCATCGGGTTCAAAAGAAGCCTCGGGACCAAAATAACACGAAACTTAACCTGGAGGAGTCGACATTATTTCAAATTTCAATAAATTACTCTATGAAATGACCGCCAATTTTTAATATTTACGGTATTAATTTTTTTAGAGCAAATTAAGTTTTCTTCTATTTTATTTTTTTATCAGAGACAGCTATAATTATGAATACATACTCACATATCCACCCGATCAAACCTGTTGAAAGATTTTCATGCTGCTGTGTGCCATCGCGCAATTGGTAAAAAGTTTTTCTTTTTATTTTGAAAAAAATATGTAAACATTTTTTTTCTGTTACAAAGACTTTCCTTTCACTCATTTTAAAAATCTATATAAACCGGCAACGTATGAGCATTTTCTAAAATTAAAAATTATAGTACAGAAACTTCAGGTAATTTTTTTTTTTTTAATAAGATAAGCTTTGTATAGATTGATGATTAATTAACGGTGGCTTACATGAGCCAGAGGCAACAGGAGAAATCTTTCTCCGTCTCGAAAGACAAATTCATCATTAAAAAAAAAAAAAAAATAGCGCTGCCGAGTGATCCTCCAGCGCCAAGTAACGTGAATGATATCAAATCTAATGACTATAAAATCCATCACCCAACCCGAAAGAAGAAGAAGAAGAAGAAAGAAGACAACGATGGTGCTTTAAAGCATTGTGTCGGCACGAGAAGGCAATCTCCTGAAGAAATTGCTCGGAGCGGAAGGCAGTTTGCTGCGAAACCTGGGGTGGCGGAGCCAGTAAATTCCGGCGAGAGCCGCGATCATCTTGAAAGGTGTTATGTATAGAGCCACCGCCGCAACCAAGCAGAACATCACAAACAAACACGTCGCTCTAGGGTCTCTCCAATTCAGCAGCGCTTGAAATCTCTCACCTTGTGTTGCAATATCTCCCACCACTGTTTGTATTCTTCCCGCCACGCTCCTCAGCCTGTCATACCTCATTTTCACTACGTCCTGAGACTTCGATGTTGGAAAAGTATCGAACTCTTCATCTAGTTCATCAGCCTGTGCTGCTTCTGCCCATGAAAGTTTTGTATCCATGTGGGGAGGATGTCTTGGCCTGAACCGGAAGTTCCATATTCCGATCACAAACATGTACAGGAAGATAGTGGGCAGGATCAGTTCAGGGTAGCAGATTAATATGAAGAACAGGATGTGTACCAGAATTGACGTCACTGGGTTCTTCCATTTTTTAACTTCTTCAAGCCACTTGCTCATGGCTATTGCGCTTGAAAATACTGATACCACTCTAAAGAAATTAGCTTTGCTTCTCCTCAAGCTCCACATGTGAGAGTCCACGTCTAGCATGTACTCCACAACCTCTTTCCTCAGGGGTGGCTCTGCTCTCCCAAGCCTTACTGCTACAATGTTCATCGCCTGGAATCTCAAACTGTCTAGCTGGTTCACTGTGAATGGATGCTGATAATGCATTTTGGGGAGTAATGGTTGCCCGTAAAGGTAAATTATGTGAGCTAAGGAGAGACAAGTAAATCTAATAGCTAATTGAAGCTCACCCGTCTTCTTCAGTCCAGAAGGACGTAGAACAAGCAAAGGATAGGAGTTAGTGTATATCCTATCCATTATAAGTGTTGATAGGCGAATTCTTACCTTTCCTATTCTGGAGTCAACTTTGGCTCCACTTCCTGATAACGGCTTCTCATTCCCTCCCAAATGGCAGTTGTCAAAAACTCCCAAGGTTACCACAGTGCAAGGGTCGTACACTTCCCACATGTACTGCTCATTCCATTTGGGGTTTGAGCTGTCAGTGATGGTTCTTGTTCTGACCCATTTCTGTCCATACTTGGCAACACAATAAGCATCGGTAGTGGATTTTCCGTCCTTTGTCTTCATAGGTTGGAGCCCTTGAGCGCTTAATATTCCTACTTCCAAAATTCCAACCGGTTGCTTCCATAGCTGTCTCGCGGTTGGTTTTGTATCGCTTATGTATAACGTCGATTCATCCAATACATGGTAGCCACCTTCAAGACACACTCTGAGGTGAATCCTAGTAGAGAATTTGAGCTCATGCCTCTTGTCTCCCTCCAAAGCACCAAAACCAAAACTTTCTAGATTGTACCAGTAAGAATGAACTGGACGGTGATCCAAACGCTTCTCGAATTTATTGAGTGGGATGCTTATCCTCCCCACAATTTCATCTTTTGAAGATCCTATCTTGTTCTCCACAGTCAGCACCAGTTGTTCTTCAAACGGCTCTGCTGCCACAAACAGGAGATCCTCGTTCCAGAGCGGATTAGTTGTTTTTGTAGGACATACCTTGGTCTTGAGCACCTGATTTCCAACTTGAGCCTTCACAAATGCTTGGGGTGGTTGGCTTTTATCGTTTGGCTCTACATCCTGAGCTTCAATCACATTTACTCTGAGATACCACAGCTTTGGTGAAACATAAACCTTAGATCGAATTGAATAAACTCCCTCACCTTGTACTGAAGCGGCATCTGAATGCCATGCATCAGGAAATGCTTCGTCAGCTTGTGTTCCCATCCAAACTGCTAGCATCACTTCTCCTTTCACCTTTTCATCCCCTCTTCTGTGCTCTAGTCTGTACCACTGAGGAGCCAGAGGGCTATCAGGGGGGACTCTGGTTGGGACTTCATGCATGTCAAATTCGACTTTTCCGATGTATTCATCTCTGGACACCATCTCTTTGTCTCTGACAAACACTTCAACTACTGAAGATTGTATCTTTTCCTTGGAGAATGCAAAAACCTGTTTCCACTCGGGGTTGCTCTTCTTCTCGAAGTGTCTTGTTTTGCCCTTGTAGTTACCGACCTTGACTTCTACGTAAGGGTCACAATTTCCAGTCACAGGATTTGGAGGTAGGTTTTTGGCTTTCTCAACTCGAACATAGAGATAGAACATCTGTTCCACGAGGTCGTAAGTGCTGGTGGCCCTGTCGCTCGCAATCCATCCACTTCCTCCTCGTTGTCCGCCATGAGGCCATTTTTCTCCCAGCTCAGGTTTTGTGTCCTTCAACTTGTAATCTTCTTGTTCTTTTGGCTTTGAAGCAGCTTGGGAACCCATTGCGTATGTGTCCTTCCTTTGGAAACCTCGGCTCTCAAAATTTCTGGTTGCCGCAAAAACTCTGGTCAGTTGTGTCCTGTGCTAAAATTAATTTTCATTCTCCAATGTTGTTGCTTATGCAACAGAGGGAGGTTACAGGTACTCAGAGAGCAAAACTCTAGAGGACAATGGTAATTTTGGACTCTCGAAAGTGGAGACATGAAGTTTAAACTCTCTCGGGTTTGAGACCGTGAAATACAAGGAAGTCTTATGCACAAGTCTCTTTAAAAAAAAAATTATGCAAAGATTCTTATTCCTTCGTTCCTTCACTTATCTGTATTGGTGTTTTAAACTGCTAATCTTTTTCTCCCACTGAAACTGCTGCGGCAGCCATGTTTCTTTACTTTTCGTATCATGATCTTGGTGTTTTCAAGACAGTAATCAGTGACATTTTTTGGGTAAAGCATTAAGTCTCTTTTGGGGCCTACTTTTTCATGTAAAGCATCTTCTATATCTGTCCTCTATGCCTCATAAATTGCCCCAATTTTCATTCATATAAAACACAAAATATGTTGATTTATACTAGACAAACTAAAGAGGGACTAACAAAGATGTTGGGGAAATATTGCGCTGGAGAAACAATGCTCTTGAATCTCTCTACTTCATCTAAACGCAGAGTGATTCAAGAACGGACCATAGTCGCTTGGCAAGGGGATAGAGATAACAAAAGCCACTGATTGGAATTCCAGATTGTCAAAAAGATATAGCAGATACCCCACTCGAGAGAACAAATTTTTTTTTGCAAGAGAATAAAATACAAATAGACTAAACACATAATCTCTGCCCACTTACCGAGATTCTTTGGGCAAAATGTAAGCGACCACTTTTGCCCTCGTTATTCGTTCTTGTTTGTAGGACAAGACCCATGAGTCTTCCAGTGATTAGGTTGAAACAGAATGGACAAATTTCATTGCATGCCACAGAACAGCTGACTAATATAATGTGAAAGGGATAGGCATTCTCTTGAGTGACAAGGTTGAGAGGCTAAGCTCGCATGAGGAGTACAAGGAAAAGGGGAAGCATCGTAGAAAGCTTATGGGGTAAACGAGGCTCCAAAAAAAGATGCTTTATACCAATATTCCGCCATCTTTATTCAAAGTTGTCTTCTGTTGACATATTCCCCTGTTTTATTCCATAAAAGCATGCATATAGAAAAGGACGGAGACCAGAAGAGATGCCCCTTATTTGATTCAACACCATATGTGGGGGAGGGCTGTGAGAGTTTTGGTTTGGGTTTTATGCGTTGTGCCTAGTGCCCAAGGGTGGGAATTCTGAATGAGTCCAAAAGTTTGACATTTGATTTAAGCCACACAGTAGTGTGTTACTGTTGTGGGATTTGACTTCTGAATATTCTTTGTTTCTCCTCGGTGAAGTTTTCCTATTTAATTAATAAATTTATTACAAGTTTAAAAATCTAATGGAAGTCAAATTTTAGGAGAAATTCTTAAAGAGACTGGGACACTACATTATCCATAATTCATTCAATAAAAATATAATATTAAATATAAATTAACTCTAATGATAGTAAAGAGAGACAAGATAAAAAATTAAATAATCATTCTGTTATAAAAATAAATTTATTAAAAATGGTAACATATAAAATTTTATTTAATTAAATTGACATAATTTTATTAAATAGATTATGGATAACGTGATACATTAAATCCATCTAAGAATTGCTCAAATTTTATAATTTCTCCAAATTTAATTGGATGTTTTTATTTTTTTTTAAAAAATGTATATATGGAATTAAAGTGCACCTTCAATTTTAAGCCAAAAAATGGTTGTGATTGATAATAATGAGCTATATACTGTTGTAACACTCATGCAAATTTTCCTGCTAGTCGTTTATTCCTCTCACATATCTTCACCTCACACAACACAAGGAGCAACCTTAGCCAAATTGAGAAAACCGGGAGTCGGGCGTTTCAAGGAAAGAAAGATAGATACACTCGCACCTGATCCTGTAGTTCTATTTTCCATGAATCACATTATCACAACAAACTCTGCGGAGTCTTCCTTTCTGTGGAATGGACCTCCGGGAATTCAACGTCTAATCATTAGAATAGGCTTGCTCAAGTTCTGCCCGAGGGTCGCATTGTCCCTATTCCCAATTCAAGTGTATATTCCTCTAAAACTGATCCAATAAATAGTATAGTCTCTTGTACGAACATACCTTTCAGGTTAAGATGCAAGCACAGGCAAAATCACGCAGCAATTCAACTGAATGATTTCAGCTTACCTCACAGCCCTTAAGAGTTATTCCACAGAGGTTGCGACTTGTCCAGGAGAGTCTATAAATTCTTCAAAGAAACTTGGGTTGAGTTATTACAGTTTTCCTGTACAATTTTCGGGTGTCAAAGGGCATTTAATTTACAAGCCATTTTACCAATCCATTTTCTTTCAAAGGAATGGGCACACCCTAAAATCGGCTAGCCATTTGACAATTTGAATTGAAAATTAAAATGATACAGTGACGAATCAAGAGAGTCGAAGCATTGAGCACTCCTTGTAAGTTGGCAGTCACAAAGGAGTGTCCTTGTTCCAGGATAATCTATCTAGGCCATCGACAATAGCCCTGCGGAATTCGCCATTGTGGAGAAGGAAGGATGAGACGTGACCACCAGTGACCCACCTCACCTCACAACCTGGCCAAGCTTTCTCTAGTTCCAGCACTGAGTGTTTTGGGATGTATCCGTCATCCTACAAACGGTGCTTACAGTTATAAGTAAACACAGATAACAAATGAGCGGAGAAATCTAGCCAACCGCAAGTATCTTTAATAAGAATGCGTAATGCTCGCTATTCTAAATTGCAACATAAAAGATTACGCATAAAAGATAACAATGTATAAAACATCAAGTAAACAAAGATAACAGCAGAGCGAACCAAAAACTTTCTGCTAGACTCTTCACTAATATGGACATAAATAGCCAAATAGGTGAACAAAGATAACAGCAGATGAAACTAAAAATCTTCTGCTAGACACTTGACTAGTATGGACAAAGATATCCACTAGACAAGAATGTCCAAGATACAGGGAAAATGGAACCAAAGAAGAAAACTGTATAATCAGACTCAAAATGATCTGCAGCCAAAATTTGAACCAGAAATAAATAGAGCTGACCAATAAAGGAAGTATGGATTCCCATCTTTCCAGAATACTTCATGTCAATGCAAAATTTTTCTAATTTTTTAACAGTTTTATAATTTATCTACAGAAATGGAAACGCAGATAAAATAAAAATAGGTGTCAGCCACTTCTAACTTTCATTGAATACAAATTCATAAGGTGTTTAAGCAATACCAGGTTCTGGAACTTACTGTAGCAGCAACAAAGATCACAGCATTGGGATTTTTGGGAATTGGAAAGCGTGTGACATCTGTGAGAGAGAGAACATTTCGCATCCTCTCTCTTACCTCCTCGAGAGTCATTGCAGCCTTCTGAGCTGCAAGATCCTCTCTCAGTGCTTCCCAGGCAGTGCCATGCTTTAAAATACCCTCACAGAATGCCACAACAGCAGAATGAGGTGATAAAAAAGGGAGAGTTGCAATAGGTGTAGGGTGAAGTGATCCGACCATTGCTGCGTGTACTCCTCCTAAAGTTCATAAAAATATCCAAATCCATACATATATATGAAATGGATACAGCAAAGTTCCAAACGTTAAGAATTAAAATGTCCAATCACTCCACTAGGAAGACGTCACTGTATTTGACAAATTAATTGAGGCATGGTTGTTCAACCAAAAATGCTAATTTATTCCCATGCATTGCGTATAAATTGGAAAAAAAAAAAAGCAACAGACAAAAGAAAAACAGGATGACCAAGATCTAGTAGCTTGAGCATTAGCATGGGTTCTAGTCCAGATGAATCTTACCCATACTAAGTCCACAAACACCCATCTTGCCAAAACCTGCCTCGGTATCCAACCAGTGTAAAAGGCTGCGGGTCTCTTCAATGGTTGCTCTTCCTAATAACAAAAGGTCACTAACACACAAAAGTTTTGCACCACACTGCAGCATAGGGCGTCTTCGTCCATAAAATGGACTGCATTTGTATGCATAGACATACACACAGATGCACATGTATATAATGACGTGTAAGTTTTAACTAAAATAAGGTTGAAAAGACAATGATTTTGGTTTCAAAAAGAATTTGAGCCTGACCTCTCAAGTACCATGGTTGCAATATTTTCCTTCATGAGAGGTCCACCAAGACGCAATCTCCGTTCAAATGTATGGTCCCCAGTTCCTGCAATTGTTTTTTGAAAATAAAGATGCAGCTATTAAACAAAATGGCAAGGTGACAAAAGTCATATTCACAGATGAAGAGAAGTATTATCATCTGGATTTTTTGAAATTTTGGTTCTCCTTGCTGACCTTATCAAACTGAAAATAATAAAAATGTCTCATGTCATTCTTTGATGCCTGCCTATGAAGCAAAGGATCAGAAACTACTGCAACTTACATAAACAAGGGAATAATTCATTCTTAGTTATCCTTAAGTATGCTCATTATAATCCTCTGCAGTTTGTGCAGTTACCAAACTCACCAAAGGAGAAAATTCTGGACAGCTAATGACTAGCCATGCTCAGGATTGCTGACCAAATCGATGACATCCTGACTGCACTGGATAGGAGCCACTAGGCAATCAAGCTATCTACCTAATCTGGACTATGCGATTGCAAAATAAACAAATAATTAAGGTCCAGAAACAAATTCTTCCCAGTTTCCTCTGCGCAAAACAATTTAGTAGTTTAGGGATGATTCATCAAGAATAAATTTATGATTGATAGTGAGCCAACTTAGCTCGAACAGTTCAGTTTTATTTATCAACAAAATAACCAACATGTATTAAAAATGAGAGAGATCAAAATGTCCTTCACTCCTTTCTTCCTTTACAGTTCATCTGTTTATAAGATCAAAGTGAAACGATGCCATACTACACAGATTAAACTATTGCGACCGCAATTGCACCCTTATATGCTGTATGCAACTAAAAGTATACAACACTTGTACAGTTGCATGTATACTAAACAGGGCAGCATGACGACAACAGTTCTTTCTTTCCATTTTCCATAAAACAAAATGCACGAAGACATGTTACCAATTTCAAAAGTATTAGACAAATTTGTTCCTTTTTATGCTTTTTGGGGCAGCTGATGTTACCATCACATTCAATCATAATCCAGAAAGTGAAAACCCCAAGTTCCCCATCCAGGACTACGTTAGTTTATTCATCAATATATTGTCGTTTCAAAATTCAAAACCTAGTGTCAACTTCGATTGTGTCTTGATGGCAGGTAAATAATAGACAGATCACAGACCTCAAACCTTTAGCGAGATTACAACTTCAAACTCAGCCTAGAAGCTCATTGACGACGATTAAATGATATGCCGCGGGGGCAAAAGTTATAGCCAGTTACCTGCAAGATGAACCACGCAAGCCATCTTCTCCGGGGGAACATTCTTGGGCACCAGAAACGCAACCCTTGCATTATGGCTCTCAGGAGGCAAGGCATTCAGGAGTTGATCATCACAAGGGGTTCTGAATACCCCTTCTCTCAAACAAGCCGTCTTGGTCTCCCAAATCGTCCTCCAGATGGGTTGAATCAAAACGGGAGGCCAATTTTGTCCAGCAATTTCTGGGAACAACTGCTTAATCATATTCTCTAGCATGTCAAGTTTAGTGCCACCCCATCCTTTGGAGAAGAAGGGTGTGGTGATCCTCGATCGATGCATGAATGCACCGTAAACGTGGTCCAATACATAATGAAGAATTCCCAGATTAACTGTGACCATTATCCACAAACTCGAATACCGTTATGACTTATGACCGTAAGCTGAATGATTCACAAGAACTCTGTTTCGTAAACTTAAAACAAAACAAAATTTCCAGGGAAAGAAGATAGAGTGAACTAGGAGTGTACGTAAAACAGATCTGGAGGACCGAAAGTCTAGCAAGAATCCCGAATGACAACGATATGAGAGAACAAAAAAGGGGGCGGAAACAACAGAGAGAGAGAGAATGGCGATAGATTGCAGGAAGAATTAAAAGGGATAATAATGTAATAATGTACTGACTACTGAAAGAGAAAGCAAAATCAATGAAAGAAAGCGAGAAGAATGGCATTGAAGGAATCAAGGCAGATCCAGATGCGGAAACGGAAGCCCGATAAGAGAGAGAAAGAAAATGAGAAACCCGCCATCTACCGGAAACGCGAACTGTGGGAGGATAACAAAACCGCTAAATGACACGCTGGATAGGGCTCCGTTGGGTTCTGTCCCCTCCGTCTTTTCTTTTCCTTGTTATTTTTATAATTAAATTGTTGACTTTTTTTTGACCAAAATTAAATTATTGACTTGATAAATATACAAATTTGCCCAATTATTAAAGTAAAAGGGCCTCATCATCAAGGGCTTGACGGCATTTATACAAATTTAAAATAATAATCAGAATATGATTTCTACGTTCTGTAATAAAAGTAAAATGAGTCTCATTATTCATGCAACTCGTGTTTGCATAAAAATTAAAATTTAGAATAAATATATAATTTATTATTGATAAGTAATATATCTGGCGGATTTTTTTATAAATTTTATAATACATATAATATTGATTTATTAATTTAGATATTGACATTGATTGTGTGTGTGTGTGTGGGGATAAGCATTTCAAATCGCATATTTTTACATGTTTGGGCATCTATAAATAATATTTAATTATCCAATATCTTCATCTTTAATTATGAGAAGTAAAGCTAAATCCTTTTTTTTTTAACCAAGGCTTTCCATGTGAAAAAAAAAATGATAAGACGGCTAATTAGCTAAACATTCGTGGAGGAAAGGGATAGGAGGTGATTTTACTTTTAATTAACGTTTAAATTATTTTAAGGGAGAATTTCAATTACGCACCGTAGATGAAATTTAATTACTTGTTGGTTTAAAAAAATTTAAAATTTTAATTTAGTTCAGGAAAATTAAAGTAAAAATTATTTCAATAATAAAAAGATTAGATTACCCTTCACTTATTGTATAGAATTATTAATTATTATTTTTCTTACTTTACTTATTAATTTACTAATATGAGTTATAAATTACATTTGTTGTAAAATAAACAATAACATCGATTGTTAATTTGCTAACTTTACTTGTTAATTTACTAATATTAGTTGTAAATTATTCTCAGCAATTTACAACTGATGTTGGTAAATTAATAAATAAAGTTAAAAATTTAACAACTGACATTGATGTTTATAATTGAACAACTAATGTCGAATCTTATATAATTATAGACATGTAAATTTATGTAATTTATAATTCATATTAGTAAATTAATAAATGAAGTAAGAGATATCATTATATTTTACTCTTATTTTAATCATCAATTGGTAATTGTTTGGCTTTTAATCTTAATTACAGTTATCAATTAAGACCAACTCAATCCTAAATTAAAGGGCCAATTCTTAAAGGGTTAAGGCCTAAACGAGTTAACTTTGTTAAACCTGATCCTACTTTAAGGCTCCATTTTAGCCATTCCAACCCTAGCCCCCAAAGTTAAGGGTGAGCAAAACTGAATTGAAATCAAAAATTGAACCAAACCAAATTGAGTTTAATCTATTTGGTTCGGTTTATTCGATTTAAATGGTCGGTTCAGTTTTTTTAAAAAAAATTTTAGTTTAAATGGTTTGGTTCAGTTTGAATATTGCAAAACTGAATTAACCAAAATTAATTATATATATTTATAAATATTATAATTGATTTATATTATTAAGGATTGTTTTTATTTTTATTAATATTTTTTAAAAATACTAGTATTATATTTGATTCCTTTACTTTGATATGATTTTCTATGTTGTCTAGTGTCCACGTTATTGTTTGTAGGGATCCCTTTTGTTTTCCTTATTATTTATATTTGTCATGTTAATTTTATAATTGTTTGCGGTTTCAAGAATTAAGATTTCACAAAGTCCACTAAACTAGTCCAGATCATTTTTCATCTACTTTAGTTAGGGGCATCTAATGTTTTAAATTATTTCTTAATTAGTATAATTTTTTTTTGAAAACAAGCCCAATTTGTTGACAAAAAAAGCCCAGTGTGTTGACAAAAAAGCTCAATAACCGAAATAAATAACTGAACCGAATCATTAAAATTCGATTCGGTTTTGGTTTGATTTTTTCAAAACTTCAGTTTAGTCCGGTTCAAAAAATTGTTAAATTTTGGTTTGTCGGTTTTCTTTAATCACAACCGAACCGAATCGAATTAACCGATGCTCTCTCCTACCCAAGGCCACAACCTTATGGTTTTTCATTTTTAATTTAAAACATAGAACATATATTTAAAATCTCAAAAAAATTATTATACATGACATTAAGTCCAGAAAAATAAATTGAAGTCAATACATAAACAACAAATTTAAGTCTGATAAGAAACAACAACATCATAAAATAAATGTCAATAACAATCAAACTTTACTAATATCACCAGCTAAATCTTAATAATTTTTATTGTCATTAATCTCAATATAATTTTATCCTTGTTATTGTAGAATCTCTATAGTGACAAAGATATTAAGCTTTTTACATATTCTTTATTCATCATCGTGAAATGATACTATGATTTTAGAATTAATGTAATATTTAATTTTTTAATATTAAATTTTAAAAAATATAAAAGAGTTAGCCCTTTTATTTTAGGGTCTAAAAGTGAGCTAGACTTATCATTTTATATTTTAAAATAGCAACACGGTCTTAAATTTTTTGAGCTTAAAAGGAGTGAGTCTATATATTTGGCCTCAATCGATGGCTCTAACTTTGAAAAGATTGATATAATTTGCAATAAGCCCTTTTGTTACATTAATTTAATGCAGTAATTGTTTGGTTTCTAATCCTATCTAGTCGTTATAATTGGCAATAAACTTTTTTGTCAAATTAGTTTCGGAGTTGAAGTTAACAAGGTGCAGAGTCAGATTGGTTAGATGTTCAGTATTCAGCTAACTTTAAATACTTCACAAATTTAAATAGAAGTAATTCAAGAAAAATATTATATTAGCTATTTTTAAAGATTGTAAATTATCTTATGGACAAGACGCCTCGTCCAAAAAAATTGTATGAGGAAGAGGGAGTAGTTGGTGAAGTTAAGTTCTAACTTAATTAGACTTTGAGCCTGTTTATTTAGGATTAAAAAATAAATAATTTTGGATGGTTTAAAGATTTTATAAAAAGATATTTATCTTATGGAGATTTTATAAAAAACAGATATTATGTTATGTTTGGTTACAATGATAAAAAAATAATTATTAGTTAATTATTTTTAAATTCTATGATATCTTTCTTAATTTTTATTTTATAAAAATAATTTATTATTATATTATCTAAAAATGTTAAGACACTCCCTCTCATCTACCACGTTAAATTATTTTCAGAGTAACTTTTTAAAATAATCAGAAATATATTTTTTTATGAGTTCTAATTATTTTAAAAGTTTAAACAAATATCTTAAAAACTCACAAAATATATTTTTTAAAAAAATAAGCAATTTTTTCATGAAATAAGTCAAAATAAACAGGCCCTAAAACAAACCTGCATTGCACCCAAAAATTTAAAAATTTAAAATAAGTATAAATGAATATTAATTTAATAATTTATTAAATGTTATAATATTTATAATGTGTAAAATATGATTATATAATCAATTCCAAACCAAAAATGTAAGAATTTTTTGTTATCAGCATAAAAAAATGTAAAGATAAAAGCATTGGCTATTTATATTAACGCATGAAGAAACATCTTGTTTGTATCAAAAATAAAAATAATTTATTTTATTATAAAAATAAAACAAAGATTAATTTAAAATAAAATTTTTCTCTATTTTATAATTTTATACATGTTAAATATTGAATAATATATAAATTTCATCGACAACAAAAATTATTAAGTAATGAGAGCTCTTACCACTTATGCTAGCTTTGGTTGGTGATATGTAAACTTTTTATATCACATTTATTCTATAGATTGGATAAGAGTGTACTATTAAGAATATAAACTCAAATACATAAGTCTATTTTAATGAAAATTATGAATTATATATTATCCTCAACATGTCTTTGGAAACTATTGTTATTAATATTATTAATATTAAAACTTTTATATGTTAATTTAATAGGATAAAAATATGTTAAATATATAAGGTTAAACACACACACACACATATATATATTACATCTTTCTCTGTAAAAATTATGAAAAGCAACTTGCTTCATTAAAAAATATTTCACCCCATACGAATTAAAATTACAATAAACAAAGACACCTCGTCAAAATAAGATTGCACGAGAAAGAGGGAGTAGTTGGTGAAGTTACGTCCCAACTCAATTGTAATATGATACCCCTGTTGCCTATAGCTTTGACATTTCAAATTTTATTTTTTGAATAAAAATATATTTTTTGTTAGAATGATAGTTAAAAAATTATCTTTATTTCAAATTATACATCTATTAAAATTTTAAATTAGTAAAAATATAAAAATTAAAATTATATTAGGTCCGCACAGTTCAATTTTAACCTAGATGGTGGATATTTTGGAGCCGAAACTCAATCCCCCTTCCAGGCGTCAATTCTCAATGATCAATATTTTAAAAATAAGTTACTTCTAATTAATTCATTAAAATTAAAATAAGTTAATTAAAATAATAAAATTTTTTAAAAAATAAATCACTTATTATTTTCATCCTTACATTTAAAAAAGAATAATTTGATGTATGGAAAGAGCTTTTTTAAAGATTAAAATATTGCGCTTGTTTTTAAAATTTGCTAAAGTGTACTTTTAAAATTGTATATTAAAATTTACAAAAATTTAGAGAAAGTGACTTAGATTAAAAATTAATATTTTAGAATGTGATTTATAAAAGAAAGTACGCAATAAATGGAAATGAGGCTGAGGGATCTCCTTGTTTGGGTGGGTTTCTTTCCATTGGAGTTTGGTTTTAGTACTTAGCAAGCTACTGAGCACCGGTGTGCTCATTATAAGAGACGATCTGAAAATTTAGATTGTCTAAATTTTTTTATTATAATTTTAATTTTATAAAAATAAAATTTATAATTTTTTTGATAAATATATTCATAATCAATCTGGATAATACTGATTTAATTTGAGACTTTGAGTGGTTTAATTTAATATTATAATTTTCATAAATTGCCTATTTATATTTATTCTGGACAAAACAGATTTAATATTATTTTTTAATAATTTTTTATTTTAATAAATATAAAATAAAAATAAAAACTTTAAATCTAAACCTTACAAATAAAAATTTAATATTAAATATGGTTTGTTCATAGTATATCTAAATGGTCAATTGATAAAAATTATAACATTAAATTAAATCATTTAAATTCAATCAGTACTATCTATATTGATGATTTTATTTTTATTAAAATTGAAATTAAAAAAAATTTAACCAATAATCTGAATGACCCAAATCTTCTCTTGTAATGAGCAGGTCAGTGCTGGGCAGCTTGTTGAGCGCCCAAAACTGATTCCTTTCTATTTTCTTTTCTCTCTACCGCTCCTTCACGGCAAATCAGAACCACTCAAATTAATTTTATATTTTTAAAAATTATTAAATTTCAATCATTAAATTTAATTTAACAGCTCAAATTAAATTTATATTTTTAAAAATTATCAAATCTCAATCATTAAATTCAATTCAATGATTTAGATCTAGAGTGATTCTTCCTCCGCTTTCGAAAGCGAACCCTGTTTTTTAGAGCAAACAAAAGTACGCGGAACTCTTCAAGCCTTGGCTTGCCTATGTAATTCAAAAAAAAAAAAAAAAGAGTAAGCGCAACTCACAGAGAAGGGAAAGGAGTGAGCCTAGGGGACGGGACACAAAGCAAAGGATGAGCTCTCGAAAGAGTGAGCCCTGCTTTCTCTTCCATGTCAACATTCGCCTTCTCTCCTTCCACCTTCCACTCGAAACACTGGATCATTGCCCCCAGATTCGTCTGCACTACCTGCAGAGCCAGCGACGTTCCAGGACACCCTCTTCTTCCACTCCCAAATGGAATCAGCTCGAAGTGTTGCCCTCTCACGTCTATCTGCTTCTTCCCTCTTCCTTCTTCGCTCACCATGAACCTCTCTGGCCTGAACTCCTCTGGCTTTTCCCAGTGGTTTGGGTCCCTCCCTATGGCCCACACGTTCACAAACAGCTGCGTCTTCGCTGGGATCTCGAACCCCCCCACATTGCATCTTTCACTTGATTCCCTCACTACTAATGGACCTGTAGGGTGAATCCTCAGAGTCTCCTTCACTATAGCTTGCAAGTAGGGAAGGTTCGGAATGTCTGATTCTTCCACTATCCTGTTCCTCCCGATTACACTGTCCATCTCTTCTCTCGCTTTCTCCATTACACTTGGGTGGTTTATTAGCTCTGCCAGACCCCATTCCGTCGTTAAGGCTGAAGTGTCTGTTCCTGCCATGAATATGTCCTGCAATGTTTACAAATGTCGTCGTGTTAGCTGATATATATATATATATATATATATGTAGGAAGAAAGTAAAAGCATAGATAAGCGATCTCGGTGGATTATTACGAGGATGAAGGCCTTTATATTCTCCATGTTCAGTTTTATCTCTGAGCTCTCATCTTCGTATATGTCTAGCAAGATATGAAGCAGATCCTTCGCTTGATAAACTTCACCTACTTCCTTCATCTTCCTCCTTTCCTTTCGGTGTTCTGCTATCACTCTGTCCATGAGAGTATCAAACCTGTCCCTCAGTGCCTTTGCCTTTTTCTTGATTCCCTGCAAATCCCAGTTCTTGCAAAACCAGATAAAATCCGAAACATTGAACAATCCAGTGAGCTCGGCGGTGTCTCTCACAAGCTGCCTTATCTCTTGAGCTTCGACATCATCCTCGGAGCACGTTTGGCCCATGAGCATTCTGGACACGATATTGTTCGACACTGTCAACAGCTCTCCTCCCACATCCACGGTCTGACCCCTCTCGGCCCTGTCCAGCAGAAGCCTGACAAATCTCACCGTCTCCTGCCGCCGCACCGGAAGGAGCTGGTCTAGCGTCCGGCCACCGAGAAGTTCCGACATGCACAATTTCTTCATGAACTTCCAGTAGGGGCCGTATGGAGCAAAAGAGAAGTCCTGGGAGCCATAGGTCAGGAAATCAACGGAAGTATTTTGAGGACGGTTGGAGAAAGAAGCCTCGTGAGTTCTGAGAAACTCAGTGGCGGTTTCTGGAGTGGAAGCCACAACACATGGAACAGAGCCCAGAAAAAGTTGGATGATGGGTCCATAGCGCTGCGAGAGGGTGCGAAGAGCTTGGTGAGGGATGGGAGCAAGAAGGTGAAGGTGACCTATGATAGGTAAGGCCAATGGGCTGGGAGGGCGATTAAGGTTCCTCTGTATTCTGGTAAAAATGGCTCGAACGAGAGTCAACGATACTAACCCAATGATCAGGAGTTGGATGTATCCTTGAAAATCCGCCATCTGTGCAATGAAAATCCAGATTTTTGTGTCTTTTATAAAGAAGGAATTAAGGGTCTTTATTATTTCATTGGACTTGTTATAAAGGCGGTTTCTGATAACTGTGAATGGGATGAAGGTGGTCCATCTGAGAGTTCAAGAATTATAATCATGCTGGTTCGTTTAGATTTAATTTGCTTCCTATTTTGTCTTTAATATTTGACGATACTAGTGATCAGAAGAACAGGGCAAAGCATGCGATTCCAAACTGGCTTCTTCATTGTGTTGTTATGAAAAGATTCAATTTGCTAGTTTTCTAATCAGGAACAACGAATAAAATGAAAAAAAATACAATTTTTCTGATTGTCTTTATCCTATATTTCTGGGATCGGCCGGCAACAAGGTCCCTATTCTAACATAAAAACTGCAACCATGTAGGACTATCTATGATCCGTTCTTAATTCTCTTGAAAAACCAGTTCCAAAAATGAGTCGCTGTACGTACGGTTTAATTAATTGGAATAGTGTATACCAGCAAAAACAAAATAATTGAAGGCGGTTTACAAATAGTCTTTTAATAAAAATAAGATTAATTTTTTGTTACCTTTTACATCAATTATTAAATTTTATGTGTTTGTTTCTCCATAACATGTTTGCAGAATATGACAAATAATGAATTACTCGATTCAAGACCGGTTAATTGGAATGTCCCAAGCTTTGTTTGGGATGAGGAATTCTCGCGTCATGCTGAGAAGGTTAAAATATATAGAATATTTTATATTGTATTATATAATTCATTGATGATAATACTGGCATTTTCATTATTTTTTATTAGGTTAAAATTTAATTTAATTTTTATATTTATTTGTAAAAAGCACAAATCACAATAAGTGAAGTAACTTTTTTTAAAGCATTTTATTTTAGAGGGGTAAAATTATTTTCCGTGAGTCTCCCGTTAAATCTCATTTGACCAATCACGGGGTTCTCTCTCTCTCTCTCTCTCTCTCTCACACTCACACATATACCAAAGTGAATGCGCTTTTCATTCCCCGAGCTTCCCCAACTGGCGTTCCTCCTCTACACAGCAGCTCCAACTCCTGTAGGACCTCTCGTATTTTCTCTGTCATAACGGGTCTCAAAGAAGAACCTCCCCGTAGATCTTGAAGTTACAGGGAATCAGAAATCTTCCCTGACTTGGCCATTTGTTACAATGTTATGCTGAGTTTCTTGCAAAACCGGCGTTGTTATCTATCGGCGGTCTCTGACAGTCCTCCACTGGACTTGTCACCTCAGGGAATTCGATAGTGACGTGAGTGCATGCTTGAGATCTCTATTTTGAAGTTCTTAGTTCATTATGGCAACATAAGTCTCCTTGAAGATTGAAACGTCATTCTTTACTTGTTTTGTGTCTCATTCATGGTAGGTATGGAGACAGAAAGGGAGGAATCGAAGAGGTATAAAGGTTCGGTGTCATAATTTTTCTGGCAATGCGGCAACAGAAAGCGGTTCCGATGCACGAGGAGGGTGGAATTTGGTCACTGGCGGCGGAAACGCACAGGGAGTAGTGGCGGGGAAGGGCGATAGGGAAGGTAGGGGATTGATCGGAAGACGATAATGATCAATTACCAAACCAGAATGGTCTCTCCCCGTCTTTCTTTCTTCCGGCATATAAACAAGAAAGCCTTGCTTGCATTTTCAAGATCCGGATCTGTAATCACATTTTGGCCTACCTTAATTCCAGCAAGATATTTAGCATTTTCCTGCGATCCTCCCCAATAGAGTGAAGATTTTATTAACAGGAGAGTTGCGACATTGCCCCTGTTGCCGCTGCCAACGACGGTGACTTCGGATCTAAAAGAAAGAAAGGGAGAGAGAGAAAGAGGAAGGAGGGAGAGCCCCGAGGAAGGTTAAAGGAGACTCAACGGGAGACTCGCACAACGACATTTTTACTCGTAAAAAAAAAAAACTTTAAAAAAAAAAAATTTGCCTTAATTATCATTAGCTCAGAATATCGAACGTTCCTCGACAATAAGTACAGGGATAAAATCTTAACCTTCTTTTATAATAGACCTATGAAAATATATTTTTTTTTATGTAGAAGGCAATTTCTATGAACTAATCTACTTTTTGAATTAATATGTGACTAATATAAATTGAGCTAAATTGGATTAAATGAACGCAAATCTCTTCAAATAATATTTTTTATTTATCATACTTAAATTTAAAACGTCATTTTTATGGAAAAACATGTCTAAATAATCAGCTGAATCAATTACTGTTGGTGCTTTTTTATTTTATTTCATCCATAGGCTTCTGCTTCTAATGGCATCTGACTATTTAATAACGGCTGGCTGGCAGGCGTATAAGGAAATAGATCCTCTTCGTACCTTTAATATAATGCTTCTCTCCAGTTGTTATTTAGAATATTGATTTGATCTTATGAATGATTGATCAAAAAAATAATCAACATCTCATTTAAAGGAAAGGATGGAAAAAGGGTCCCATTCCGAACGTAGAATTATACCGACGAGGTTTCCCAAACACAAAGGATATCCTGGGAGTTGACGAATTTATTTCTTTTAATTATATTTTATCCTTTGAAAAAAATATTATTCAGGATTGAGGTCAATCCAGCTTACCATCCATGCGCACTGCAGCTAATTTGTCTCCAGTAAATTATTGATGGTTCCAAAGTCCAACCGCTATATATAAGCAAGGTAACAAACTAATCAACGAAACATCGCCTAAACCAACTTTATAGCATTCCGGTTCATTAAACATTTGTTGTTAAAATTATGCATCATGATAGAATCATTCAATACACTTACAATGTTATTTTTTTAAAAAAAAATATACAAGTATAAATTTTTTAAAATACCCTTAACTTAATATAACCTTATTTATAAAATATTAAATAGAGAAAGAAAATACAAGCAGGAGGGAAATATGATATTGGAACAATTATAATTAATAAAATTTTATTTTTATTAAAATATCTTATATTTTAGATACTAAATTACCTTTAAAGGCATCAGATAAGGATGGAGAGAGCAATAAATTCTAATTTGGCTTCAATGAAAAGGAGCTGAAATCTCATTTAACGTGCTATAGGAGGAAAAATTTAGGGAACATTACACCCATAGCTCCCAAACATAAAAAATTGCACCCAGAACTTAATACATTTTGAAATTATTTTGTAAGCCCATGGGTTCTTTTTGTAAACATGTTTTAGGGAGAAAATGCACGATTGCCCTTGTTGGGAAATGGAAAAGACGACAAGTAAAAATTCATGTGTTTACAATAAAATATTCACAAATTTACAACTTTAGAATCATATCAACAAATAATTGTATATTGACAGTGAAATTATTATTCAAAATTGATAAGTTCATGTCGGCTAAGTTCACAAATTTACAACTTAAAATTTAAATTTTTACAATTATAAGTTCATCTATCTATAAGTTAAAGTTCAAAATTTATAACTTCATAATTCATAACTAAAGTTCATCATGACAGCAAGTTCATATTTTTATAATTATATATTTATAAATTTATAACTTTAAGTTAACATATTAACAAGTATTTAATTACGTGTCCATTGATAGTGAAATTCTTGTTCAAAGTCGACAAGTTCATATTGGCCAACTTCATAAATTTACAACTTAAATTTCAAATGTTCACGATGTAGGTACATGTTCATCCACTCACAAGTCAGAGTTTAAAATTTATGACTTCATATATTCAGAACTATGGTTTATCATGACAATGAGTTCATATTTTTACAATTAGATGTTTATAAATTCATAATTTTAAGCTCATATATTAACAAGTATTTGTTTATTGATAGTAAATATGAAGTTCTTTCTTTCTCACTAAGGGTAATTGTATCTTTTTTCTCTAAAATATATTTGCAAAAAGGGCCCTAAGCTTGCGGAATAATTTTAGAATGTAATGAGTTTTAAACATAATTTTTTCTCTTTTAAAGGTCTCAGCCTCCAAAGTGTGATCTTCCTAAATTTTTCACACGGGGAAAATGTACTTGCACTATTACAAAATACTAAATATATATCATGCTTTATAAAATGATTATACACCAAACTGTAAAATAAACAAAGGCAAGAATTTAAATTTTAAATGTTAAACGGTTTAAGAAAAATCTGTTGTATAAATTATTAATAACCATTGAGTATATGTGTCATCATATTAAACGGTTCCTTTTGTGGAACCATTTAATGTTGTTTAATTATATAAAATGATTGTCTTCGGACAACCATTTTATATATTATAACTCTTTCTTTCCCCAACACTCTATTTAAAAGACTGAACGTTATGCACGTGATTTGTCTTCATCTCTCCTCCCGCACCCTTCACCTTCATTAAAACTCCAAATCCAAGCATTTTCGACCACCCCCTACCTTCCTCTGCCATAGAAACATTGTGGGTTTGTCTACCTTCTCGCTTGTGGCTTGCTATGGGTGTTTTCTTTTCATCGTGGGTCATCTCTCACTGTGGGTTGTGAATGCTAGCCGTCATCTCTTAAGCCATCGTTTTCTTGTGGGTCTCTTAGCTATGGGTCGAACATTAATCTTCATTCAACGTCCATTGCTTTGTTGATCTCTTAGCCACCATTTGATTTTGTCTATGTAAAAGGTAAATTTTTTACAAAAAATATATATAATTTCACTACTAAAAAAATGGAATTTAGTGAGGAATGAATCCCTCACTAAATGTCATTTTTCATAGCTAAATTGTATTTTAGTGAGAATTTTGTCCCTCGTTAAATTCATAGCTAAAAAAGGGCTCGCTAAATTTAGCGAGGAATTGTATTTCCCTCGCTAATTAGCGAGGGATTTAATCCTTCACTAAAATTAGCTAGGGACTAAATTTCTCGCTAATCCCTCTCTAATACTATTCAAAATTTGATAACTTTAGCGAGGAATTAGCCCCTCGCTAATCCCTCACTAAATATGCTTATATTTAAAAATAATTATGCCATATCACCCGTTATGTATGATGTCAACTTATAACATGTCATCAACAACCTCATGCTTTGTCAACCATCATGCCACCTACCATCTCGCGCCCTATCACCCACCACATGTGTGACAACTCATGACACTTCATTGTCTACATTACGCCATGTTATTTGCTTCTTACCATATCATATATTCATTATGTTTATGCTAAAACTAAGATTTGAACCCTTAACCTCGTAACTTTCAAGCTTTATGCTTTCCTTCTTTGCCAGTTAAACTGAAAAGCACTTGCAATTATTATATGAGAAATTAAATATATATATATTATCCAACTACATAAATATATCAAATAATATATTATAAAAATACACACATATACATATTAAATTTTATTTTCAATTATTAATATGTTAAAAATAATTATATTTTATTTAAATTATTCTTTATATTATATTTTAATAAAAAATTATTTTATTAATGAAAATCAACTTAAAATAAAGAAAATATTAAATAATTTTATTATGAATATTTTAGTTAATTTTTAAATTTAATCATTATTTTTAAATGAAAATAATTAAATGTATAATTAAAAGTCATTGTCAAAAGTTAATTTTTTTTGTAGTAATTAGGTAGGGATGGAATCCTCATTAAATCTCTCACTAATTGTCATATTTTAGAGAGAGATTGGCAATCCTTCACTATTTTTCTCGCTAATTCTCTTATTTTAGAGAGGGATTGACAGTCCTTCGCTATTTTCCTTGCTAATTCTTTATTTTAGAGAGAGATTGATAGTCCCTCGCTATTTTCCTCACTGATTCTCTTATTTTAGAGAGAAATTAATAGTCCCTCGCTAATTTCCTCACTAATTTTAAATCAAGCTACGAAATCAACATCCATCGCTAATTTCCTCACTAATGTGGTATTTTAGAGAGAAATAAACGATCCCTCACTAAATTTTCTCACTAATTTACATTTTTTTAATAGTGTTTCTTCCTTAAATATTACAATGTCATGGGTTTGATTCCCTCTATTTGTTATTGAGATTGGAATGTACTTCTTTTTTCATAGACTATGGCCATTTATGCTTGCTTATTGCTTTAATTAGTTAGCAATTGCTCTAAAACTCCCTAAAATTTCTTTGAAATTGTTATTTAGAGTTTTCTTTTTGTTATAATTAGCATTTAATTCAAATATTGATATATGAGATTGCTCTAAGTGAATGTTGGTTTGAAATTTTTGTTAGTTTAATATTAAACTTGTGAAAAGAGGGCATGAAGCTTGAGAAATATCAATTTTATATTGTTATGCTGCTGAAAATTTTTTAAATTTTGGTTTTGGCCTTATGTACACCAACTTTGGGCTTTGTTGAAGTTCTTTAAAGTTTAACATTTTATTTGATTAAATTAGTTTAAATTAAAGGCATAAGGTTTGGGAAACACTGATTTTAAGTTGTTATGCTATCAAAATTGCCTAAATATTTGAAATAATTTACAATGCTAATGATGAGGCTAAGCTAATTGTTAAGCTTAAAGGAAGCATATGGTAAGGTATTATCCCTTTCTTTTAAATGCAACCTTTATGAAAAAAAAACTAATTAATAATAATACATAACTAAATATAAACAAAATAACTAGTACAAAATTAATCTTCCCCTCAAATTAAACTTAAATAGAATGTGAAGATAGTGGGATTTATCTCCTACCTTCAATTTAAAACTAATTAAACTGAGAATCAATTGGCTTAGCATCATTGTAGATTATTCAAAATATTTAGGCAATCTTTTTTTTTTAATATAGACAACTTGTGACTTACTGAATGCTTTCCTATTTTTATTATCTTTCTTAAACAAGAGTATTATGGAGAAGAAGTGAATGTCTACCAAACATCTATTGAAAGAATATTAAGATGGGGTGGCAGACTTTGTTAAGTTTACAGTAAATAATGCAAAAGATCACGAACGAATTGTTTGCCCTTGTTTAAGTTGTGGCAATATGAAGTCAATTTTCCAAGAAACATGTTAACTCCACCTATTTAAGTATAGAATTGATTAAAGTTAACAAGTAGTATTTTCCAAGCTAGGTTTAGCTTTAACAACCAACATGAATGAAGAAATTGTTGATATAGGTATATTTAAAGTTTACTAACAAAAATGTGGTATAGGTATATTTGGCTAATTTTTTGTTTAAGTTAAGAAACTTGAATTGTATATAGCCTGCATAGGAATTCATGATGTAAGTTTCATGTAAATCATTATTTTTTGTTGTTGAAATTCGGTTATAGATGTGCTGGAAGTTGTATTCTATATCTTCAATGCAAGGGGGTTGCTATATATGCAACACCCCTGTTTTAAAAAATTTGGTCACTATATTAAACAGTTATTCAAAAAATAGTTTAATATATTGACCAAATCAGTAGTTACAATATATAAAATGGATTCATGGAAAAACCATTTAATATAGTAAAATATTAAATGATTATAGTAAAATAACTGTTTAATATAAGCACAAAATTAAACGATTTTTCTCCCATAACCGCTTAATACAATACAATATTAAATAATTTTTTCACAGAACCGTTTAATATTATTAGAATATTCAACAGTTAAGAACCGATAAATGTGGTCTCTTGAAATATTAAGTGGTTGTTTATTCAATGGTTCATAACCATTTAATATTAATAAAAATAATCATTTTATATATAGTATTTTGTAATAGTGTTGGTTTAGTTTGCAGCCAATGAATCACTTAAAATTAAAGAAAAATGATAATATAACTTTTAGTTTCTCAAATTTGTGTTATATGTCAATTTGATCTCTTAAGATTAATTTCTATTAATTTAGTCCTTTAAGTTTGTTGAGCGAGACCTTTTAATTAACAATATTTTTAAAAACTTAATAAATAATAGAGTACAATAGCGTCATATAATTCATGTAGCCGACCCTACCTAATGAGATAAGACTTGTTATTATTGTAATCCCTTAAGTTTATTTTGACTATCAATTTGGTCTTTCATATTTAAAAAGGAAGTTACACTATTAAAATTTGCTAACATAGATAACAGAATATTGATGACAACCATCTAGAGTAATGAAAAGAAGAATTATCATTTAGTTAGGAATAAAATAAGCTTTGGAATTTTAAAAAAACAAGAGAAGAAAACACAATATAAGGGATCATAATGATAAAAATGAATTAATTTGAAATTTAATTTATTTTCATTTAACTATATATATACATGTCAAGTCATCGATAAACTTTATACATTAAATTATTTTGATAGTCAATTTGTGCTTTAAAACTTAAAAGACTTATGATAAGGAATCAAATTGATAAAAATTAAATTTAAGAGACCAAATCGATAACTGAGATAAATTTGAGAAAATAGAAGTTCTATTATTCCTTAAAAATATGATCAAATTCATGTTTATTAAAATTTGATAATTATTATATTTTAAAAATTGTTTAAAAAATATTAAAATTTTAATTTTGTCATTCTTTGCTATAATAACAATAATAAATTGCTGTCTAAGAATTCTAATTACAATAATAAATAGACATGAGGTAAAATTAAAAAAATATTATTCTAACTTTACTTTATATTATAAATAAATAAACTTTTAAAGTTTGTCTTATATGAACAAGAGGAGTAACTGAGGATTTAGTTTGGATGATGCCTGGGGGAAGAGTTATCGTAATAATCATTCGTAGATAAACTGTGGGTTCAGCATGAAATAAGTGCATAATTTATATAGTATATACAATGACTAACATATCCCAGACAAACTGGCTATGATTATTGGTTCATTAATATGATCAAGCGACGATTCTGAAACTGATCGATCAGTAACGAAATACAAGATCGGAAGTAAAAGCTGGTGCATTGAGCTAGTAGAATGAGAATTCTTGGGACAATGGATCTCATGGAGAGAAATTGAAGGGTTCTGGGATACAAAAAGGGGGGGGGGGGGTGGGCCCTTTGAAGATCTACAGAGTTTCCCTCGTGCATGTCAACAATACTGGCGTCGTTCTCTCGATCTCCTGCAGGCTTCCATTCAAGGCACTGAATCATAGCAGCGAGAATGGTATGGAAAATATTGAGTGCCAGTGAAGCTCCAGGACACCCTCTTCTTCCACTTCCAAAGGGTAAAAGATTATAGTTTTGTCCACTCACTTCCACTGGACTCTTATCTTCCATCATGAACCTTTCTGGCTTGAACTCTAATGGATCATCCCAGTTATCTGGGTCCCTTCCGAGTGCCCAGATATTTATGACCACTCGTGTTTTGGCTGGAATCTGATAACCTGCTATGTTGCAGTTTTCAGTTGACTCTCTCACGATCACCAGAGCAGGAGGATGAAGCCTCAGCGACTCCTTCACTATTGCTCGCACATATGGAAGATTTACTACGTCTGACTCCTTCACAGTTCTTTCATTCCCAGTCACCGACTCAATCTCCTTCCTCGCTTTCTCCATTATATCTAGGTGCTTTGTCAGTTCTGCCACCGCCCACTCTATCCCCACGGCTATTGTACCTGTCCCACCGGACAATATATCCTGACTCGTACAAATTATGAGTGAGTTATGATTGATGGTTTTCTTTTAACTGAAATATTATCATTTTATATAGAGAATTGATAGAGCATAATTACCTTCAGGAAGGCTTTGATGTTGTCCCTGGTGATTCTGACATCTGAGCTCGGGTCTTCTGATATATTTAGAAGATATAGTATACCCTTTGGTGCATCTTGTTTGTTGGACTTAACTCTTGCCTGTTCATGCTCACGAAGGATGCTTTCGAACCTAGCGTCCGACCTCTCATGTACCTGCTTCAGTTTCTTCCCAATTCCTTGGAGATCCAGCCTTTTGAAAAGCCAGAAATAGTCTGATAAGTTGAATCTTCCACTAATCTTGGCTGATTCTTTCACGTCCCGAGCCACCTCATAAGCCTCCTCGTCGTCGTCGTTACAGAAACTTCTGCTAATTGCCATTCTCATTACGACGCTGTTGGCCAGTCTCACAAGCTCAGCTCCCACATCCACAGGCTTTCCCGCTCGAGCTTTCTCTAGAATGACCTGCAAGAAATGGTTAATCTCCTCTTGCCTGGTGGGAAGGAGTAGGTCAAGCATTCGACCATTAAGCAGTTCTGACATGCAAAGTTTCTTGATGAACTTCCAGTAGGTTCATTAAGGGGCAAATGCGAAATCGGCTATATCATAAGTGAGATATCTGATAGCAGAGCTGGGGGTTCGGTTACAGAAAGAAATTTCATGGGTTTTTAATATCTCTTTCACGATTTCAGAACTAGAAACAACGAGCAAGGGAACGGAACCAAGATAGATGAGAATCATGGGTCCGTAACGGCTCGAGAGCTTGTGAAGAGCTTGATGCACGGGCGGTCGAAGAAGGTGGAAGTGTCCCATGATGGGTAAGGCCAGAGGACTTGGAGGAAGCCTGGCTTTTGCTTGTTGTTTTGAGATTATGGATCGGATCAATATGATAGAGGCTAACCAGATCATGAAGACGCGTACGTAGTGGGAGCCTACAAATGTTACTGATGATCTCCATCTGTTGTCTGTTTCAAATCTCAGTGCAGAATGCGTTGGCTTCGTTCAAATGGTCTATTTATCCAGGTGTAATAGGGTATGGCTTTGGCACCACCTGGCAACAAAAATTAAACTTATACATCAAGTTTTGAACTCAGCTTTTTTGTTTTTTAAAAATAGAAGTTTGAAACATCATGAAAAGGTTTTCAAGAGTAATTTATTTTTATTGCATGTATAATAATTTTTGCTAATTTACTTTCCGGCAACAATGGACACTACTAGTCCCTCACTAAATGCCATTTTCTCTAACTAAATTATGTTTTAGTGAGAAATTTTGTCCCTCACTAAATTGGTAGCTAAAAAGGGGCTTGTTAAATAAAAGTGAGGAATTGAATCTCTCATTAATCCTCGTTAATACTATTTAAAATTTGATAATTTAGCGAGGGATTAGTCTCTCGTTAAATATGCCTATATTTAAAATAATGATGCCACATTACCCGCCATGTGTGTCTCAACTTGTGACATGTTATCAATAACCTCGTGCCTTGTCAATCATCATGTCACTTACCATCCGGTGCCCCATCATCGGCCACATACGCGACAACTCATAACATGTCATTATCCACTTTACGTCATATCACTTGCTCCTTATCATATCACGTGTAACCTTGTGCCTCATTAATCGCCATGTCACTTACCATCTAGTGCCCCATCACCCGCCACATGTGCGATAACTCAGGACATGTCATTGTCCACCTTGTGCTATGTCACTTGTTCCTTATCATATCATATATTCATTATATTTATGCCAAAGTCAAAACTTGAACTCTTGACCTCATACCTTCCAAGCCTTATGCTCTCCTTCTTTGTCAATTGAACTGAAAGGTACATGTAGTCATTATATAAAAAATTAAATATATATTATTTAACTACATAAATATATCAAATAATATATTATAAAAATACACACATATATACATATTAAATTTTATTTTCAATTATTAATATGTTACAAATATTTATATTTTATTCAAATTATTCTTTATATTATATTTTTAATAAAATATTATTTTATTAATTAAAATAAACTTAAAATAATAAATAATAAATAATTTTAGTATGAATTTTTTGGTTAATTTTTAAATTTAATTTTTATTTTTAAATAAAAATAATTAAATATATAATTATATCTGCAGTAATTAGTTAGGGATATAATCCCTTGCTAATTATTTTATTTTAGAGAGGGATTAACAGTCTATCACTAATTGTCTTATTTTAGAAAAGGATGGACAGTCCTTTTTATTTTTTTCGCTAATTATCTTATTTTAGAAAGGGATTGATGCTCACTATTTTTCTCACTAGCTAATTTTAAGTCAAGCTACGAAATCAATATCCCTTATTAGTTTGGTATGTTAGAGAGGAATAGATGATCTCTTACTAAATTTCTTTACTAATTTGCATTTTTCTAATGGTAGGACCCTAAAATTGATATGTGGCGACTGATTTGGATTGTTAGATTTTTATTTTTATTTTTTTAACTCATAACATCACTTTCCTAGTTTCCTTGCTTGTTAAACAATGTTGTCAAACCCAAAAACCTTATTAGTTTTGCCCCATCTGTAGCTTTCTGATTCTCCCTTGTGCCATATTTTAGGCTCCTTCCCTCGTCATATATTGTTATTCTCTGTATGCTTGCATTCAAGCTGATGCTATATTTCGCGTTAAATAATTCTGTCCCTCGATGGATTTCTGACTGATCACATCCATTGTCCATTACTTTAGTGGGCTGCTGTTTCCTTATCAATTATTTTTTCCCCAAATATTCTATGGACAATTAACTTCAGTACAAAAGCCTAATCCTGCAATGAACTCAAAAGCTACGATATCATATGGGGACAACAGCTGTGTGATGATTACCATACTTATTGGCCCTAGATGGGTAGGTATGTGATTATTGAAAGAGAACGTTACATATTAAATACAACAGCACATATTATTTGTTGCAGACATTTGACAAGAGCATAGATATGCATGGCTAAATTTAGGAAAGGATCCTAGAGTTTTAGAAAGGGCAGGGACCTAGGCACAGCAATGCACAGCAAAGGATTAGCTCTAGGGAGGCCTAAACCAGGTTTCTCCTCCATGTCAACCTCTCCTTCATGAGCCAGCTTCCACTCGAAACACTGTATCATAGCAGCCAGAGCTGTTGGCACCACCTTCGTTGCCAGTGAGACACCTGGACACATTCTTCTTCCCGCCCCAAACACCAACAGCTCGAAATTCTGCGCCTTCAGGCTCATCTCGCTCCGTCCCTCGTCAGTCATAAACCTCTCTGGTCTGAACTCTAGTGGGTATTCCCAGTACTCAGGGTCCCTTCCAATCGACCACACGTTCACGATCAGAGACGTCTTCGCCGGAATCACGTACCCATTAACTTTACACTCTTGCGTTGCTTGTCTCGATATTATGGTTCCTGTTGGGTGAAGTCTGAATGTTTCTTTCACAATGGATTCCACGTACGGAAGGTTTGGAATATCTGATTCCTCCACTAGTCTGCCCTTCCCTACCACTGAATCGATCTCTTTCTTTGCTTTCTTCATTATATCTGGGTGATTCATCAGCTCTGCCAGGGCCCATGTCACTGTAAGCGATGAAGTGTCAGTGCCAGCTCCAAAGATGTTCTGCAAAATGTGTCTAACTGGTGTATGAATTAATTCAAACAGAAATATTTATCTATCCCTAGCTATTTGAATTCACAGAGAGGAATTTTGTGGGATTCTAATTGGTACCAGAAAGAAGGCCTTGATGTTTTCTCTGGTCAATCTAATCTCTGAATTTGGATCCTCGTATATGTCTAATAGAATATCAAGCAGGTCCCCCTCTGCTTCTGCTTCGTCATCCTTCTGCATGTCCTTCTTCTTCCTTCTTGACTCTTCATGCTCCTTGATGATTCTCTCTATTATAACGTCGTACTTACTTCGAACACTTTTTAGTAGTTTCCTGTACCCCTGCAAGTCTAGCTTCTTAAACAACCACCCCATGTCTGCTAAGTTGAACTTACCACCAAGCTCGACCAACTCTTTGACCACCTGAATCAGCTGGGACCCTTCACTCTTAACATCGGCGCACCTTTTTCTGAAAGCCATTGTGGTGACAATATTATACGCCAACAACGCCACCTCCTCTCCAACGTTAACTTCCTCTCCTAAATCAGCCTTTTTCAGCAAACAGTGCAAGAAGAAATTGAGCTCTTGCGCTCGGACAGGAGAGTGATGGTGCAGCGTGGTGGGGCTGAGGAGCCGAGTAATGAAAAGCTTTCTCATGAACTTCCAAAAAGGTCCGTAAGGTGCCATGAAAATATCAGCACCGTCATACGTGACATAGGCGAGGTTGGTTTTACGAGGGTGGTTCAAGAACGAAGCGTCATTGGTTTTGAGGCATTCCCTGGCGATCTCAGGAGAGGAAACGAGGACGCAAGATTTGGAGCCGAAGGAAAGGTGAAGGAGAGGGCCATGACGTTGTGAGATGTCGTGGAAAGCTCGGTGAGGGAGAGGGCCAAGAAGGTGGAAGTGGCCTATGATCGGTAGGCCCGGTGGGCTTGGTGGCAGCTTGGCTTTGCCTTGAGACTTTCTATACATGGATTGTCCCAACAAGATGAAGAATAGGGCTAGCAAGATGAACATAAGAACCGCACTAAAATCATCCATATCGTACGTGTCTTGAGGTTGAAAAGTACTATGGAATGTGTTATTCTTGGTTGCTATGGCTATGAGAAACTTTGATTACTTATAACCAGGGTTTTCAGTTGTTTATTACCATTACAAATTAATGTTGATGAGAGGTAGCGTCAAAACTACATATGTATATAGTTCTGGCTTACGTTTGATAGTAGAGGACCACATTATTGCATTAATTATATAATATCTTATCTTGTTTATATAAAATATATATTATCTTGTAAGGTGCTTAATTGTTTATGATATTTTTTTACAGGAAGAAAATAATATACCTTTAAGCACATGAACATTATGATGTCTGATGTTCAGATGCTCTTAATCAAGAATCAGCCAAGAAAGAAAACGAAAAGGACATGAGAACATCCAGGGGAAATCTGACCTTTTTTGGATGTGTTATATATATATATATATATATATATATATATCCTCGTTTTACTCTATGAACGTGGGTCCTCTCTTTTCTGATGAGTATTAATTATAAAAAGTTAATCTTGCAAATTCATTATTCGTGGTTTGCTAATATGATCTCTTCAGTGTGGAGGAAATCCATTCCATATATAAGGGGATATGTTTGATAGATCTCCCATACACAATTACATATGGTGTATGTGTATAATTTTATCTGTAAATTAAAGGACTATGAAAGTCGTGATTTATCTTTTTCATTTTTAGTACAAGAACTAATTAAATTCTTGTCATGGCATAAGTGCTAATTCTTTTTATCAGTACTGTTGGGACAAGCTTAACAACTTCCTATTTGTATTATATTGTATTGATTTTGAAGAATCTCTTTGGAGCTCCCATCACATGATTTTGCAATGTTCTTGTGCCAGAAGAATTACATAATACGCACGTAAGAGGTTTAAAATGAATTAAATGTAATTTTCACAAGCGTACACACATCATTTCAATTTTATGAATCATTGTTCAATATTGCAATTATGTATTGAGTGCTTAACTTTTTCAGATTGGTCCCCGGATTATGAAATTCAAGAGCCAATTAATTTAGATTAATCATCATCCTTACATAATCTAGTTATATATTGAGCTAACAAAGGTTGGCTCAACTGATAAAAATTTGACCTATAATTTACAAGATCATGGAATCAAATTGCATTGTTAATATAAGGACTTTATTGACAAATAATCTATAATTACTCCTATAAATACTTTTGATCCAGGAAACATGTTATGGTTCAAGTGAGTTTTTAAAATTCAATTCACCTAAACTTTTTGTTATCTCTATATATAAAATTAGCTATATAAGTGGTCCAACATATACATGGCACTGCAGAAAACAAGAATGGTCCAACATGTGGGGAAGAAAACCGTAGTGATGTCCGCTAAAAATCAAAACTAGACAAGAATGCTATTACGTGCCTGTAACCTTTTATCAAGATTTTTTTAAAAAAATAATTTTCATGAATAATTCATTTATTTACAAACACATAATGTTTTCAATAATTGTACGACGGTGTGGTTAACATTTGTTGTTTTCCTCTCCGGATTGGTCCCGGGGATTAGGAAATCGTCGTGTTCACGCGTTTATATATTGAGACGAAGCCGTGACAACTATTAGCAAGACATTTGTTTATATATTGAGACGAAGTCGTGATGACTATTAGCAAGACAACTGCTTCATAAGCAATTGAAAATTTTATCTGTTTGCTTCTTATATGAGTGTGAAAATTTTCATGAATATTCGAATATTTTTTATCAACTATAATATGGCTTGAACTCAATTTCATGGTGAATTTTCACAAAATTTTTTTGGAAAAACCCCCACGGCTCTATGAAAATTGTTTTATAAAACCAAGCTCCTTTCCCCACCCTTCAAGCCCTCATCTATAACATCTTGAATTTTAATTTTTGAATTAAATTAATTAGCCAAGGTTAATTAGATAAAATTAAGTGTTGATTAGTTTGAGGATGGTTAAAGACAATTAATGGACCTATTGAATATATTTTCAATCTTTGGATTGGGTCCAGGGTGGAATTGGGCCATCTGGGCCCACTTGGAGGGCCAAATTAGGTTCAGCATTTTTTGTACGATCTGCCACAGTGAATGACTCAAAATTTTAATAAATTAGAGATGCTTGGATGCAAAACAAAATAGAGGAAGACAGGAAAAATGAAGAAGGAACACAAGGCTATGTTAGGGCTTTTCTTCCAAGCCACTTGAGAGTGATTCAAAGCCTTTAATCGCTTTGCATAAGTTGCCTATACTTTCCTCTTCCTCCGCCATCCATTTTCATCTATTCATTTAGAAAGAAATGATGAAATTCAGATCCTGAAGCTATGGATCAGATCTCATTAGTCCAAATGGTATTAATATAAGTTTTTTGAACAATCTACATCTAGATTAGAAGTATTTACAAGGTTATAAATTTGGATTTAGGATTTTAGACGAACCCTAGACACTTTGATGAAGAATTTATGTTGTTGAATGATATATTAGTTATTATTTAAATAAATGAAAGCTAAATAAAGTTAATGACGATTGACAAACTCATCAAAAGTGAGTATGTGTTTGTAGTTGAGAAATGGAGTTAATAATGTGGGAATGTAAGAGTTGGAAGGAGTATTTATGTTGATTGTTAGATATGATTGTGGTTATTAATTGTAGATCAACATTATGATACATTATTTGACCTCAACTCTAGCTTGGAAAGCAAGTGGTATAAAAATAACTTTTGAGTTTTTAAAGGTTTGAAATAATTAAAGATATTTTATTTTGTACTAATTATTTGTTAGATTAGTTATGGGTATTTGTGAACTTGATAAATGCATTTTGTAGCTCAATAAACTTGATTTATTATTTTAGAAACTCAAATGCAAGTATGGTTTTTTTTTTATATGAATGATAAAAGTTTAATATGGAAAGTGTTGATTATTTATTGGAAAGAGGATTTTGAATATTATAATAGTAAATAAGAATTTGTCATGATGGATACATGCTTGTGATAGCCAAGTTGTGATAGCCTTGAGTACATTGACATGATCATATATTGGGCAGGAGTTTGCCAAAGAGGATTTAGTGTTATTCCTGTCCATGTGGATATTGCCAACAACATCATGGGTGGCCGTGGTGATTGGTTTAAGGTTGGGTTTTTCTGAATCTCACTTAAGAATAAGTGTAAGTGTAGGTTGACCAGACCCTTAATCCTTAACATAATCCTGGACTATGTGTAGGGCAAGGCTTGTGACATCCTATGGAATTTAAGAATAGGAAAATTTATGGTCTAAGAGTGAATATAGTACCTTCAGCCAAATAGCTCCTCACGATTGGTGAGTTTTGGGTTAGACCATTAACAAGAACTTAGTCCTATTTGAATTATCAACCTACAAATTCAGTTAGCAATATAAGAAGGAGATAAAGAGTGATTTGATCATACATGTTATATAACATGTGATATGATATTGAATCATGCGTTGATTGATTTTAAATGCCTACTTTACATGCCTTAATTGATTTAACTTGCGTGTGCATGATTTAGAGTTTTCTTAATTACTGAATGGTTGTACTTTCTCCTATTTAACATTTTACAAACACTAGCTTCGAGAAGGACAAGGGAAACGCACCAGAGGCTTAGGAATTCACATTCCTATTGTGTGCCTTTTATTTTGGTTATTATATGTGTAATTTGATAGCGATATTGGTAACTAGGATAATTATTTTAATTATTTACACCATTGCGTGGTTTTGTGGTTGGTGTAAAATCTCCATATACGGGTAAATTGGACTTAATAAAAATTTTGACAAACAATGCAAGATTAAAAGGATAAGTAAGGAATAATATCATGAAAGTTTGTTAAGAGAAGGGAAGAGAAGCTTGCATAGGTAACCATTCTAGTTTAACTCCAACTACTTAAGCCTATATTCAATCCCTAAGTTATACTTGAGATTTTATCCACTTACTATACTAAGATTAATCCAAGCTCTTGATTATCTTAATACAATTTTATGCTTCGAATCTGAATCACTCCTCTTTACAAAGGCAACATGATAACCCTTTTAAGCTCTTTAAGCTTAAGTCATCTGTTTCAAGTATAAAAAATAGAAATAAACATAGTATATTAAAGAATGAATAACTCCTTTTAAGAACTCTCTTTGAGAGTAGATATACATTCAATAAAGTTCAATAAGAATGAATATAACAACAGAAGGTTGGTAGAAAATTGAATGCGAAAGTTCATGCATAACAACTCTTTTATCTTCATTTTTATAAATATGTCTATTTATAGTTGGAGATGATTAATGATTCATTAAAACATACTTAATTATTCGTTAGACTCATCTTCAGCTTTCGTCCAAGCCTATCTGGAAATAAGGCAAATACTGCTTTTTGGCGGGGTTGTGTACTCATAATAAGTAAGGAAAGTAATGATATATGCATTTAATGCTCAGAGAAAAGGTAGGTAGATTAATATTAGTAAAGCCAAATGCAATACAGGTATAAAGAAAATTAAAGTATAAGAATTGAAAAGTGTTTGATTCTACCTATAGTTGTGTTTAGAAGATATTTAGAATGGTAAAAATGCTAGCACAACATTTAAAAACTGAAAAGAATGAGAAATAAGTGAGACTTAAAGCTCACAAGTTTTAGAACGCAGAATAGAGTAAAAATTTTTATATTAGTATTAGTATAAGTAATAATAATACTAGTGTATGCAATAAATATTTTGAGAAGAAGTGCTAAGTCGAGTATGGGTATAAATGAACAATAACATAATGATGATAGTATAAAATAGAGAATAATACTAGTATATATAGCTTAGTACCTATATACCCAAATAAGAAAAAACATGGAACAATATTGGTGTAAAAGGATAACCAAGGGAACAAAGCCTTATTATTAATATAGTTGAAATAGTATCAAGTATAGACAAGTTTTAGAATTCCAAAATAATTATGAATGAGAGATTAAAATCAACTGAAATACTTCTCAAGGAATAAAGGTTTGAAATGAAATAAGCCTCAAAAGATTATGGGCAAGTCAAATACTTCTTCCAAAGAAAATCATAAGGAATCAAAACTTTAGAGTTTAAGAGAGTTTATACTCATATCGGTATAAGTAAGGTAACACGAGTATAAGGAAATAGAATAAATGTGAATTAGAGTTAATACATAAAAATCTAGCTACTCCTTAATGTCCTTAATTGCTATTAATTTTCACAGTAAATAAAATCTTTTCCATTTTGTAATTATCAAAACCTAAGTTCAACAGTTGTTTATTGTATTTTATGCCTTGAGTCACAATGTCTGAGTTATCAATGTTTAAATAAGGCTAAAATAATAATATAAATATATTTATGATCATTTTGATGATTGTAAATGAATATTCAAAAATTTAGTGTTATTTATCTCCCTCTGTGCTTTTTGTTGAAATTAGGGTGAACGAGTAAAAATGTGAATTGTGTTATATATCTGTGGCATAGTGCATTGTATAAATTCTCCCAAGTCTCTTGAGTTTGGTCTAGATGGTTGTGTGAGTTCATATGCTTGGAAGTTTAAAAGTGTGAAAAATAAGTGATTTTGGTTTCAAATGTTTAACTTTTTGATGTGATATAATTTTTAAATGAAACCAGTGCTATTAACTAGTTTATTGAATAAACTTTTTGTGAATATTAGATTAACTCAATCAGACGTTGAATGAAAAATTAAGACATATTGAAAGTTTGCCCTTAGGATTAGCTCATGACAACAAGTTGCTGTCACAAATTCTATGCAACAGAGAAGCTGGGTCACAACACACAAATGCTTAGCCATGGTGGATGCTCTAGAAATGTGTTGAACCATTATTTTTAACCCTTTTTTTTCAATTGTTTTTAATCTAAATTGTATTTTATGCTTTCATATGCTTTTGAACTTTGATTTATGCAAGTTTGGACTTTGAAAATATTGAAATTGTTTGTTCAACTTGGAATCCCAATTATTTGAAAGATTATACATTATTAATTTTGAGTTTCAACCTTTTTTAGTGTGCTACTATTTAACACTTGGTTTTAATCATTTCTGCATTCTACCATGATAAGGCCCATTTTCATATATTTTATTTGAAAAAGAACAAATAATATATTAAATGTTAATTAATCCTTTATATTTTAGTTCATTCTATTTTAGTTACCATATATTTGATTAGATTATTATAGATATTTTCTTTAAAAATTAAAAATAATTCATATTGTTATATTTTTATTATTTTTAATCTAAAAATGTCTTAAAATAATATTTAAAATATATTTGAATATTTGTTTTTAAATTTTAAGACTTATAAATTTTTATTTTAAAAAATGATTCTTCTACATTTTTTAAGTAGTAAAAAATATATTTTACATTTTTATAGAATAAAAAATAATTAATTTTAAAGTACAATTTAAAATTCAAAATTTTAGGATTTATTGGAGATAAATCAATCAATTAATACACTTATTGGATTAATCTTGTTTATGGATCTTTAATCTACTCTTTAAAACATTGGACCATTTTAGGAATGAGCTAAGGTGGACATCGGGCCAGCCAGGTCCTAGGGCAAGGCCTAAATTCATGGTTGGCCTTACCGTGCCATTTGCCCTAGCAGATGCACATTGTGTTACAACAGATGTGCAAAAATTTAAATTGAACAAACACTGGCACACGTCTAAACAAAGGAAGGAGAAGAAAGAATGCAAGGGGCAATCGAGCAAGGATACGGGTCTGCTAGGGTTTCACATTTTGACTACTTTGAGAGCAATCTAAGCTAGATTAATACTTAGGCAAGCTTCATAATCATTCTTCCTTCTCTTATGTGAATTTTCTGAAATTTGAGAGTTGGGGATTTCTCCTTTATTCTTTAATAGGTTTTGACCAAACCCAATGATTTATTTAAGATAATGGGAGTCAATTTAATTTCTTAGATATAATGATTTTATAATGTTTTAGAGTTGAGAGCTAGAGTTTGAACGAATCTTAGGCTTAAAATGAGAATTTAAGTTATGCATATAGATTTTTTTTAAGATCTCGTCAAAGGGCATCACCAATCAACTATCACATGCATAGAAACAACTTTATTTCTTTCTTTAATTACAGTTAAGATACAAAAGACAAACCGTAAGGAAGCAGAACCCTTCAATCTTATTGTTTACGAATACTAAACCGAAAATAGATCAAGACGATGGATAGGGTAGCAAACAAGTGGTTTGGCTAATCCCACAGAGAATCCTGACCCTTCTGCCGTATCAACTTTGGTTTCCACCTTCCACTTTCCAATCAAAGCATTGAATCAATGCAGCAATGGTGGATTGAATCACAGTCACAGCAAGGGATGCCCCAGGGCATCCCCTTCTTCCGCTCCCAAATGGAACGTATCTGAGATCTTGACCCTTCATTTCCATCAGACTCTGAGATCCACCCAAGAACCTCTCTGGTATGAACTCCTCAGGGTTGGCCCACACTTGTGGGTCCCTCATGATAGCGTAGACGTTGACGAGGGTCCTGGTTTGTCCCTTGAGATGTAGCCGTTGATGTTGCAGTCTTCTGCGCATTGCCTGAGAGCAAAAGGAGCTGATGGGTGGAGTCTCAGAACCTCCTTCACAACTGCTTGCAGGTAAGGCAGATTTGGAACATCGCTCTCTTTGACTGATCTTCTTGTCCCTACTATTGAATCCATCTCTTCCCTTAGCTTATCCAATACTCTTGGGTGGTTTATGATCTCTGCCATTGCCCACTGCAACGCCACTGAGTAGTGTCTGTGCCTGCTAGGAGTATTTCCTTCCACATAACATGAATATTCATCAAACAGTTTCATATGTTTATCGTGAGGGGGGGGGGGGTTGGAGAAATTAGAAGGGAAAATGAGACTTACAAGAAAGAAAACCTTAAGGTCGTTTCTTTTTAGCTTCACTTCAGCATTTGGATCTCTATAAACTTGTAATAATATGTCCATCATGTCTCTCCTCTCTTCTGCTTCAGAACACATCTGACTAAGTTTCTCCTCATGATCTTTCATGATCATCTCCAGTATTTGATCGAACTCACCCTTAACTTTTGCCACCTTTTTCCCGTACCCAAATAAGTCCAACTTTGCAAGAGGTCCCAAAACTTCACCTAAGCTTAGCTTAGATCCTAACTCCAAGCACTCACGAACCAGCCCATGAATCTGCTCGGCATCGCAAGTGGTGCTCATAGCCATCCGACATAAGATATTGTTGGTCAAAGTAGTGAACTTTAAGCTCAAATCACAAGCCTTAGCTTCACTAGAAAACTGCAGAAGAGAATCCAAAAGGCGCTTGATCTCCTGGTCTCGGACATAAGTGAGGCGACCGATCTGGGAGGTTGAGAGGAGTTGGGTGACGCATAGTTTCTTCATGAAACGCCAGTACGGACCGTAAGGGGCAGTGAGGAAATAAGAGCCTTTGTAGGGGCAATAATCAGAGGATCCAAACTCTGGGCGATAACAAAAGTTGAGTTCATGGGTTTTGAAAACTTCGCCAGCAACTTGAGCGTTGGACACAATTAAGGTTGTGGACGCACCTAAACGAAGCCGCATGAGAGGGCCATAAAGGCGAGCCAGGCTCTGGAAACACTTGGGAATGACTGAGCCAACAAGGTGAAGGTGGCCAATGATAGGTAGAGCCGGTGGGCTCGGTGGGGTACGATGTTTGCTCCCAGAATTCACAAGTTGTATGCTAAAGGACTTGAAAATGAAAAGCACAGTGCAGACGAGCAACAACACTAAGCAGCTTATGCTGTAGAACAAGATGCTGTCGGTAAGGGCAGCCATGGTTCGGTTCTTTTGACCAGAAAATAAGGTTTATGTAGTTTGGAGTTCAAAGGTTGAGATGGGTGGCTTATTTATAATGTATTAATTTATTACCAATACAATTTCATGTTAAAAGAATGAGTAACTTTGGTTGATTGTTAGAAGATATCTTTCTTTCGGCGTGCGCCAGTATATGAGATGTTTGAAAGGCAATAGAATGATGTTATTTTTGAAAGCAAAATCTCTCAGCATTTTGTAATTGTTTTTAGAGACAATCACATTTAAAGACCTAAGAAGACAATTATTTACAAACAAAAAAAATATAAAATTAATTGTTAATAAAATGAAAAATAAAATTATGTTTTTCAAATAAAATTTGTTATTGGTCTTTTTCTGTAAACAATTATTTTTTAAGATTTTAAATGTGATTCTTCCTTGATGATAACATCAAAGGGTCCGCTATTTCCTCCTCAATTATGTGAAAGGGCTCACTTGCAATTGTCCAGACAAAACTAAGGCTGAATGGAGGAATAGTAAACTTGTCCTTGATTGAAATTAAAAAATCACACTATAATTTTTACAAGTAAAAAATAAAAAATTAAGAGCCAGATGGTTTTCTGATTAAAGAAGACAAATTACGTTGCACCAACTTTGAACAAACCCAAACCATCAATTTGAAGATCTTCTATTTTATCAATCACGCCGATTCTTTCGTACAATAATGATTATCGATAGACTTATTTTATATTTTGGAAGAATGACGTCAACAGAGAAACTGTCCGCAGAATAAAATAAACCACCTCGAGCCATTGCACCGTAGGAGGAAAATGAATATAGATGGTGGATAACAGCAGCAGGGAAGAACTCCGTAGGATGTATAATTTTGCCGTCATAATACTTGGTAACCAATAGGAGGAATATAATATCCATGAGTTCAACAGTTGAAACTGCCACTATAACTAGTATGCACAAGGGATGCACTATCCTTAAATCAAATAATCTCCAGTACACATCAACATGCTTACTTGTCCTGCTCAGGACGTTCCGCTAAAAGTAAGAGTAAAGTTCTTTAACACCTAATAAACCAGGCTTCAAAAGTAACTGATACAAGCAAACTGGGAACCAAATTTCAGCTTCTGAAACAACTAACTGGAGGATATCATCAGATAATGATTGATCGCACCAGAGGTTCGCTGTCCTTCTGTTCCGATCTCAGATATCTAAGCAGTCCTAACTCCAAATGCAAGTGTTATATGCTTCAAAAATCAGCGCATGGACATCAATGTACGAACTCTTTTTTCCCTCTCTGCCTTTTTTGCTGTAGGCGTTCTCCTAAATTTCTGTAATTCCTCCCTAACAACTTCCTCAACTTTGTCAATAGAGTTTAGAAGTTGCTTCTGAGGCGTTAGAAGTTCCGATTCTCCTTCTGACTTGCTTGTTGTAATATCAAGTAAAATCATTGGCGCTTTACCGGCAGAAGGTGTTTGGAGTTTAACACCGACAACTGCACTTGAAGAGTTCACTGATGTGCCAAGCTCGAGTTGAGGACTAGACACTATAATAGAAGGATCAGAGAGCAACTGATCTGAAGGATTTGGACTCTCAGTTTGCTGGCCCTCGTTATCTCCCAAGCGTTCTCTCCTCCTCTGGATTGCCTGATAGAAATTAGCACTATGAAATTTACAAAAATCTCCAAATTCAAGCAGAATGCCTCGACACCACAATACTGGACAGCAACCGGCATGCCTCAAAATGCAATAAATGTGAAAAAAAAGTTCTTCTGCCTCCTTTATTATATGCATTACATGACTCATCTTTGCAAGTTTTCAAAAAATTGGCCCGCCTAGACAAAAAAGCAGCTCCCTGCAATGGCTTGCAGCTATTCCCGCATGGCAAAAGATGGTCTAAAGAAGAAAGTAAAAATATCATTGGGTTCGTGCCGGAAGAATAGTGTTATAATAAAATACAAAACAACCAAGAAAAATTCGAAGTTCAAACGAATATTTACTTTTTTTTTTTTTACAAAAATTAATTGAGCACATGTCCTTTCATTCATGAATAACTGTTAATCAGACGCACCCAATCAAAAAATCGGAAGTTAAAAAGAGTGGGAAAAAAAGCTAATCGCGAGTTCAATATACGGTGTTCTTCTTGTATACATATGTATTCACGTTATAAATCAGATACTGCCAAATACAACGATGTTCTAGCATAGCAAGAAAACCCTAAAGCAGATATAAAAGATAATAATGATAATAATAATAATCATAAACACGACAAGCAACAGATAAGTGTTCTTTACCCTCGTAACCGCAGTGATGTCTCGCAGAGGAGTTCTTGGGTGCCAAGAAGGTAGAAGACTCCGTGAGCGTCGCCCCCTCCCCCGCCGTGTCGTTCCTGGCGGAGTATTTTCCAAACCCGTAGCGGAGGACCTGTAAAGATTAAGCCCGCGTGCACGTCCGCGCCCAATCGTCCTTGGGGACCCGAAACGGCCCCTTCCACTGCCGTTATTCGTCGAGGTAGAGGTCTGTCGTCTTACGATGGGTCCGAATAAAGCTGACTCTAACTCGTCATCGAGAATGCCAGAAATATTAGCTCGCCGACGAGCAAATATTGCTGCAATGTCAAGGGGTCTTGACAATCTGTCTCTTGATTCCGGCATATCTATTATCTAAGCTTCAGCGAAAAAGAAAAAACAACACACAGCATTACTTATTTTGGTTTGGAGATCCGAGAATACTAACTTGACGAGAAGACGACATTCCTATCTTTTTGGGTCACCAGTTACGAAACGAAGAACGACCGAGATGCCTCATTGTGGAACAGAGGCAGATCGATCGGATGATGGAGTGGTAAGAGTAACGAAGTTGAGGAGAATAGAGTAGACAGCGTTACCTTCAAAATGGCTGGGGTTATTGATGGCGGTGTCTCTGCGCGTGAAGAAATGAAGATGGAGGAGAAGGTTGGTTTTGAGGGAGAAACGAAATGGGCAAATTTTGAAATTGAAAAATGGCGGTCTTTAAAGATGATGATGAGATTGAGAACAAAACCTCCACACGTGTGGGAGCGTGCTTCCCCTTTCAAATTAGCCGAAAGGCGGGATTACATTGAAATCAAATTCTTCTTTGGGCTTTACTGTAACTATTTGTTTCTTATTTGGACCTTCCAATATGACTAAACTATTGTAATCCAATTTCAATCCCGGACCCCTCGTCACTGCATTCAGTGGTTGGACTATCTAAATTAAGACTAAATAATCCAAATTTATTCAATGTTTTTCTATAGTTTTTATTTTAGAAATACACTCACTAATTGTAGAAAGTCATGTTTTGCTTGCAATGAATTTAATCTACTCAATTAGTCATTCAAGGAATTACACGCTAATATAAGTGGGAAGTTTTTTTTTTTTTTTAACATAGATCAGACCTATGCACAACAGCTTTACTTGTCACTGTGGAGATGTAATTAGATGTTGAGGAATCACTGGGCCTATAACAATTCAAATCATTGATCAAATTTCATAATCACTACTTTAATTTTCTATTTTTGTTGTATCTTGTGATTTGATTTGAGTGAATGTGTGAAACTAATGGCCAACTAGATTTTGGAACTGCGTCCTTTGGTTTGGCTTGAAGAAGAAGAAGCATCTCTAGTGCATTTTATATTTTAATAAAGGATAATTGTCTGCCTCCAAACACACATTTTGCGATGATAATAATCCCACCCATCACACTATCACTTGATATGGTCCACACACAAGAAAAAATGCTTTATTTTTCAAACCAGAAGCAGAGATGATACAGCCTGGTCACCCCCTCATTGGGATTCCTTCGACTACATGTTGACGCCTCAGTGTTGAACTCACAAGCAGGTGCGTGTAGTGGCATAATCAGAGACTCTCATGGAACTTGGTTTCTAGGATTTGAACAATACCTTGGTTCTGTCTCCTGTACTGAAGCTGAATTTCTGGCCATAAAAGCCGGAGTTGATATCTGTCATCAACGGAAATTTCCTCGTGTTAAAATGTTCACAAACTCTCTTGAAGCCCTGAATCTTGTTGTCAGAGATGGTACTCCAGAACACCCAACCTGGGATATCATTCAACAGATCAAGCTCACCTCAATGGACTGCAAGACTTCGAACTCCATCATACCCATAAAGAAGGCCTCATTTGTGACGACCTAGTCGCGAGAAGTGCCTATAATTGCACGTTCACGATTACCTGTTTTGATTTTGTTCTTCCTTCATACCTTAATGAAGGGAGTTATTTTCGTTTCCTCGTAACTGCACTCTTTCAAGCTACGCTTGCCCTTTTTAACTCAAATATATATATATATATATATATATAAAATAAAGTTTAATTTTTACTCAATCATATTTTCATTTTTAATCATGGCCTTTTAAATATAATAAAGTTTATTTTTCATTGAAGTCTTGAATTTTTGCTCATCAATCCGAACGTGCTTTTATGTGTATCACTATGAAACACTGTAATTGTGTAAACATTGGGAGAACGCCCGACCTGAAAGATTGAAATAGATCCACTACGTCTGTGAAGACTAAGTAAAGCCGGTCTAAGTTATACAAAATACTCAATCCTAAGGATGCAGGTAACATTTGAAGTTCCAAGCGTGCGTTCAGGCATCTCATCTGGTGAGAATTTGTATCGACAAATTTAGATCCTAAGAAGTTCGAAAGAGGGGAAAAAAGGAATGACAAGGGGCAAACATAAAATCCTGACCAAGAACCATACGAAGCCTCTCTACAAAGTACAAAGGTAAGAGGAGTATGCGGAAGCAGCATCTAAAGTAAAGCTAGGACCCAAAGCAGCAGCCCTTCTTGCCAGTTTCTGGCTCCTGGTTAGGAACAATAATCCTGGTTCCCGTCAACAGCCCTGAACCACTCGACTCTCCCTCCTCATTGGAAGTTAATGTATTCTTCCTTATTATTCGGTATATCTCCGTTAGAATGGTCAGAAAAGTAGTTTCCACGTTGGTGGACTCTAGCGCTGATGTCTCCATAAAGAACAGTTTCTCTCTTTGCGCAAACTCTTCTGCGTCTTCAGTTGGCACCGCTCTAAGAGTTCCCAGATCACATTTGTTGCCTATCAGCATAATCACTATGTTTTTGTCCGCGTGACCTCTCAGTTCCTCTAACCATCTAGCCATGTGATCAAATGACTGACGCTTTGTCACGTCATACACTAACATTGCCCCAACAGCACCTCTGTAGTATGCACTAGTAACTGCTCTGTACCTGAAGCACACAATAATAGGTAACACTCAGACGTTACAAAAGTAGACAAAAGTTCAAGCTATACAAATCCTACGCTCTCAGATCAAATCCAAAGTCCGAAGCAAATTTGAAATGAACAAAACCAAACCAAAGGAAAATAACGACCTACATATCCAACCAAAAAGTTGCCTTAAGATTTTCACTAGGTAAATATTTGGATTAGTTTAATGAAGCACTTAAATTAAAATTCTTCAAAAAGTCCAATCCAAATCATACTTTTTTGTTTATGAATTATTTTTTGACTTTACAAATTAAAATTAATCAAAAAACAAAAGGTTGATTTAGAATGGCCGTTTGAAATATTTTCTTTTTACAACAAAGAGAAGGTTGTCTAGCTCGAGTTAGTACACATGGCTAGAAGACAACTATCCTAACAATCCAGTAGATAAACCAAGTGAACGATATAAAGTCAAATCTTACAATCACTGTTCCATCAATATTGATCAAAACATGATCCCCAAACAACCTAGTCCTTTCTGTTCAACAAGACACTGACCATGGATCATGCTATTGGTTAGTGACCAGTGACCATAGAAGCAGTTTTATGCAGATGCACACTCTGTACAGTTATCTCCTAATTGTCTGAGTGGAGAATAGAATAACTTCACGCATGAGTGTAGCACTGTACACAAAAATATAATGCATGCAATCATGACAACTCAACAAGCCGATTGCCTTAATACTGAAAGAATCAGTGAAATAAACAACTCGCACGCACTAAAATAGGAAATAACATATATGTATGAATTCTTCAAGATTTCTGTCGCAATCATACTTTCTTTCATATATTTCTCTCTAACGAAATAAAATGGTTGGTGTTATAAACAAGAGAACCATATCAATCTCTAAATAAGGTTCCACGAAGGCTTAAAGCATCCTGGACAAAATAAAAAATTAGATGCCGCTTTATTCTGTTCTCTTCACAAGGAAAGTTGCATTGCAAACAAGCAAACAGTGATCATATAATCCATTGTTATTACTACTTGTGGAATCGTCAGCAAAGAAACTTTCTAGCCCAGATTAAAAAATACATATATCATAAAGTTTTCATAAATTTTAGAGGGGACAAAAGTATGTAACACCTATATAATAAAAAGAAAAATTTTAAAAATTGGAGGGTCACAGCCCCTGCTACTCTGCTAGCCCCCCCCCCCCCCTTCTGCCACTGCTCCTGGGTCCTCCTACACTCTCTAGATAGCAATCCTAGGATATAGAAAAACCCACTCAACAAAGAGCTTCCAGACACGGTTATGTAAAAAAACATACTACTTTTGTCTCAGCATTTCCTCCAGCAAACACCACAGTAGTGTAGTATGAATTCATTTAAGATCTGGAATAAAAGAAAAGAAAATAGAAGAGTAATAAATCGAGAAAACAGTTCCTGTTGTGTTCAAAAGATGGCTTATCCTACTTGCCTAAAGTAATTGCAGAAACCTTTATTCCAATTTCCCACGCTATCTTTTCTTTTATTGACTCGTGGAGAATAGTGCATTAATTTTTCCGCATCCAATTAACCAACAATTATTTGTTCTGACAAAAATCACTACTGCCACAAAGACGTACACAATTTTAAATTAATACTCTTAAGAAACCAAGGCTGGTTCAATTATAACTTCCAAAATAAATAGAGAGACTCGGAAATCAAGGAAACGCAGATGGAAGTTATGAAGTGAACAGGGTTAACAAGGCCAACCTTTCTTGTCCTGCTGTGTCCCAAATCTGTGCCTTGACCGTTTTGGAATCAATGATGAGCGTTTTCGTCTGGAATTCAACCCCGATAGTGGCCTTGGAATCCAGGCTGAATTCATTCCTTGCAAAACGTGCGAGCAGCTGAGTTTTCCCCACGGCAGAATCCCCGATCAAGACCACTTTGAATACATAATCAATCTTCTGATTGTAATCACCGTACAAATTCGACATTCTCGCCGCAACAAATCCCAACAGATTGCCCCCTCAATCCCACCTTATAAAAATGCAGAATCGAGCATGAAATGGTTACCGTAGGGCCTTCCTACGATCAGAGCTTGGATCGCTGATTGATCATTGACAAAAGAGGAAAGAAAAGAAAGAAGAGGGAGACCTAGATGGGGAAAAGAGAGAGAGAGTGAGGGGGGTGGGGATGGAAATCAGGGCTAGGGTTTGGGAGGAAAGATCGAAGAAGTTGGAGGAAAGGAAATCGGAGAGGAGAGGGAGAGGGTGGGGAGTCAGGCAAGTAACGATTAACGACGTCCTGTGTGGTGGGACCTGCTGGTGTTTAACGGCATTTTGCGGGAACCAAATGGTCGTAAGTGTGAAACCGGTACTCGACCCCTATGAGCTCAGAAAAAAAAAAAATAATACGAGATCACAAAAAATTCGTACAAAAAAGAATAAAAATCAGGTAATGTTAAATTCAATGAGGGATTGACAGTTTGAGGGTGGATGATTAAAAATAATAATATTTAAATTATTTTGAGAGATTTAGTGATCAACGAATGAGAAAATAAAGAGCCTGTTTATTTTCTTTTTAAAAAAACTATTTTTTATTTTTGAAAATAAAAAAATTTAAAAATTTATTTATGTAAGTATTTTTTATTTAGTTGTTTTTAAAATTATTTTTATATTTATGAAACCCACAACGTATTAATTCCTCCAATTTTCTTGTCTCCATTCTTAATTTGAGTTCAAAAAAAAGAGGTTCAAAGAGTTCTTATCGGAAGGCATTCACGAGGACAATGCTAATGAAATATAAGTTTGATTTTACTACGTATGGTAGAAACTTGATTTTAGCTTAATTTAACAATAAATTATTTCTTTTACTTTGTTAGCATCATCTTTGTAATTATTTTCAAATAAAAACTTTTTAAACTTCTTCTTTTCGAGTTAAAAATTGAGGAAGAAGGTAAAAAAATTGAAGAGATTGATACATTGTGAGTCTCATGAGTATAAAAATAAATGATGTTTGATCAAAATTGATGAAAATGTATTGGATGATCTATTTTTTATAGTAGATGCTACCTAGTGTTCCTCAAAAAATAATTCATGACTAAATTTACACATTTGCACCACTGATGTGGAGTGTTACTATTATTATAAACCCTATATAACGTCCATCCACTAAAGTTAATGATGAATTACTAGATATTTTATTTTTAAAAATTATTATTCATTTTGCACCATCTAATAATTTAGACTACCAGATGCTCCTGAAAAAATAATACATAATTAGATTGCACTTTTACTCAAGTTTAAATGTAAGAAAAACAAAAACATTTTTCAACCAAATTGCAAGTTATCATACTATATCAGTAAAGGGAGAACCCTGCAAGGAAAATCATCAAAAGAATCAGGCAGATAACTGAGCGTTCAAGAGAGAGGATGGTTGACATAACCCTCTGCTTTTACACCCTTCTTTTTAAAAACAATAAAAAAAAAAAAAAAAAGGAAGCTTGGCAGCACTTTCCATTGCATATGCCCCATCTGAGAAGTTTTAAAGGGCGATATCCATGTATAAGCATAACCCATCCATCCATTGACAAATTCAATAAAATTGAGACGCTGTACAAAAATTAAATGGCGATTCACATCTACACCTCATTCAAGTCGCAACAATTCCCTGAAACGCGACTAGTTTTATTCGAAAGAAGTTATTTTTGAAAAAAGAAGGATGGTAAATTACTTTCACCTGATAGATAATAAATATCGATTACAATTCTGCTATACAAAATTACAAATATAACTATTCCCTTTATTGACCCTGTAATTGAAACCCCTCTTGCTAGCGTGAAAGAACCTAAATGTTGTGGTGAAGAACAGCGAACTTCCTGTATGGCGAGCGATAAAGATTTTAAAAAGTATCTTATGCATCAACGTCCTACTTAAATTTCTCCGAGCAGCATGTAACTTGTAAGGCACGATTCTATCACTATCCCACATTGCATGCTTCGCTTACTACCCAGCACAGCAGCAACTCAAACAACATGATTTGTATCTGACTTCTGCGTGCTTATACATTTGCAGTTTGCCCTTGTCTCGCTGAGAGTCTGCAGAAAGTGGTGAAAGTTTCAAAGAGCAGATCATCAATGAGAACATGTCATTCATAACCTGGGTAATCCAATTCAATTCTCCTTGTGTATCTATACCTTGAATTGTTTTTGAAGATCTTTAATGTACTCAACAGCCAAGTCCAACATGTCTGCTGTGTTCGTTTGCTGTCAAAGACAAACATGGAGTTCAACTAAAAGACTTCCACGGCAATTATATATTACATTCCGGTGTTAGATCCGGACGTCTCATATTGGCTTACCTTGTCCATGTTTGGGACAAGCTCTTGAAGTTTCCTCATCCGTTCACTGATCCGAGTTCTTCTAACCTAAAAAACCAAAAACAGTTTATTCTTAGAATCATCTTTGACGAATTAATTCATGAGTTCAATATACTCTGAAGAATGTATTTCTCATATTGAGATTTTGCAAACGAAAAGTTGATAGTGAATTCCATGCGCTGAAAATGGTGTAGAGACACAATTCTTACCCTTTCTGCAATGCTTCGAGGATGGGTAGCACAGCCTCGCTTTGCTCTTATTTTACAAGGAACAGAGTCTGGGAATTGAAGAAGCTTCTCCATGGCACTCATATCTGCTGAAGGTTTTGGCAAACTCAAGTGATGAGATAACATAGGAACCCGATTTCCAAGCGGTCCATTCTGAGTATCACAACTTATTAGTGTCAAGAACAAGTACCTGAAGAATAAAACTGGAAAAACAAAAGGGCAAGAAAAAACTGAAAGAAAATGATGAGCAACATTGCTATACCTGAGAATTAGAGAATAATTTTTCACCGTTACTTGGCTCTCTTTTCAAGCCACCGAGATTTTCTGAGAGATGGGACGTATCATTCCAGGAACTGTACGGAAACCCAGGGTCAAAAGCATTGACAGATCCCAAACCCCCGTTGTCAGGGTTGGTTGCTTCGGTGTTCTCACCCTCTATCTCAGAGATTTGTGATAACATTCCCAGGGAAGAACCACTTCTTGATAAGAACCCGAACTGATTCTTCAATCTGCTCATGGACGGACTCCCTTCACTATTCCTGCCATTCGACCCACCATAGTTTCCAACACCCTTAATGGTAGAATTGGAATACCCTACAATACCGACCAATTCAGCAATTTCGACTGAGATTTAAGAAAACGACTCAAGAAACAGGGTTGGGGGCTCGAGCCAATATATCCACCATCTACCATAATTGTATAGATCCTCAAATGGAAGGAATTATCATGAAAGTTGATATGAGTACCAAAAATGCCAAGCATAGGGGTGTTTAATATTTCATGAGCTAGAATTCAATAAACGTTTAGATGCAGTTGCAGGTCGTGCACAACGCAACTAATAAGCTGTTGGTAGTTCAGTTCAGCCGATAAATTATCAGTTATCAGGATACCATTCAGGAGATTTTCTCGCTAAAAATGCAGCAAACCGATATTCTAAAATCTGCTAAGCTTCCTAGCAATAATTTGTAACTCTCATCCCTCGAATACAATTCCGAAACCACAAAAAAACTCGGAACCATCAACCATCTGAAAAGCAGGCTACAAAAATCAGAAAGGAAAAGACGAAGCAGAAAAAGTACAATACCGTTTGGAAAGGAAGTGTTGGAGAAAAGCCCGGCAGGGGAGCTACTTTGCCTGAGAAGATTCGGAGTGAAGCCCTTCGGCTGCGTTTGAGGATCCATTTCAAATGAACCCACCAGTCCATGACCATATGAACTATCCATGGCGGAACTCGCCGTAGAATTTTGCCTCGGGTAGTGAGGGGGCAAACCATTATAAGAGTTCATATGGTTGAGTGCTGTCTCGGCCGGTGCTTCAGGGGCCTTGGCTTCGAATTCCTGGAAACCAGGAGAATCCGGTTCGTTGTTATTTACGAATCTAGAGATTAATTTATCGGATTCGGAAGTCTCCCACGGATTATCGCCCTTGCCGAGATCAGAACCAAGGGCTTGGGTGAAATTTGAAAGAACCGAAGTCGGGGCAGAGCGAAACCGAAGCAACCCGGAATTGGGCTGACGTTGGTGCTGATAATTGAGAAAGGAATTGGAATCCATAAAATGCTCCCGTATCCTCACTTCGTCACGTCCTACCGCTATATAGTTCGAAGCAAGCAGGAGAAGTCAAGCGGATATCAGAAGCTGGGGAATCATAGTGAAAAAGATTGACCGCCTTTATCCGAGAAAATTCTGAGAATTTTTCTATCAGCTTAGTTCCTAAGCAGGTGGAGATAAGATCTTCCGGAAGAAGCAACCGAAACGGAAGAGAACCCTAGCCGGATAGAAAGAGCAGTGAATGAATTAAAAGTAAAACAGAGCAGAGACGGGAGGCGGGAAGGAGAGATATGAGGGAAGAGAGATCCAGTGAAAAGGACAAGGAGGCAGCAATATATAAATAAAGATTATCAGTACAACTTCAGATTTGGTCTTGAAAGCAAGGAAGATCTTGTGAATAATGAGAGACAGAGAGAGAGGAGGAGGCAGTATTTATTTAAAGTTGCAGCGCGAGTTCAGCCAAATAATAAAGTACAAAGAAGCCATCAATCGGCGTCCCGTGTGTCTTTCATTCATTTAAATTTCACAGGTCCTGAACTACCCTCACCACACACTCTTGTGGAGTAGTTCGTTAAAATGCAGATTTTATTCAGATTATAATATAAATTATTATTTATTAATTTATATTTTTTAAAACAAATGATTAAAATCTTACATTTTTTAAAAAAAATTTACACCTTTTCAATTTTTTCTTGAATATAATATATATAATATTTAATTTTTTTCAAAAATTTATTAATTACTTAAGAAAGTAATCTTATAATTAAAAATATACAATACTTACTCGATATTTTATATTTTGAACTAAATAAAATTTTTAAAAAATAATTTACATTGTGATCCTGAAATAATAAATAATATCTTAGAAAATACGAAAACCATGGTGAAGTTGAAGAAAACGTCTAGACTCTTTTTAAAACGGTGAAGAACAATAATAAATTGGTTTGAGGCCCATCCAGTGGGGAGGATAAGAGGGGCTGACTGCGGTGAAATTCACTGACGTCACAGTTGTTAGAGCATGGATGTTATTATTAATAATTAAAAAATACATTAACCCGGTAATGTGGGTTTGGGCACGGCAAATTCATGCTGCTACGGCGCGACCACCACCTCTACGCCTTGTCGTTTTCGGGCTTTCCTTTCTTTTGTCAACACGTCGTTTTCGCTCTCCACTGTTCACATGCGCCGTCTTTCCTTTTATAATACTTCCCTTTCCACCAAGCACCACTCACATTAGGCTTTCCTTACATTAGACGCGCAGGCGCAGCCCTTTTCCATGTAATCTAAGAGACAGAGATCAGTAATAGTGTGATTTATAAACAGTAATAGTAATAGTATACTAACTATTATGCTTGCCTGATCCGTCTCCTGTCCTCCATGTCTGTGATATTAATATGGTAATTTCTACATTTAAAAATATAAAATGTTTTTAATTAAATATTATCTTTTAATAAAATAGTTAATTATTTATAAATTAATACTATCATCTTTTCATATTTATATTTATTTAATAAAATATTTTACTTTTAAAATAAATATAAAATAATTTATTTATTATCGGCACTTAAAAAAATGCATTAGTTGTATTTTAGAATTTTAAAAATACCTCACATTTTTAAATATTTAATATCTCAGAAAATATTTTATATATTTTAATAATATTTTTTTATTCTCATACTCAGCTCTTCTCTAGCTACGTCCAGCTAATTTTAATGAAGTTTTTTTATAGTCATCAAAAATAAAATTATTTTATACGATTATTGTCAATATTTGTAAACTTGCACTAGGTTGTCCCTTCTTTTCTCGTGCCAGCGTACTGGGTTTGTCCTTAACAATGCTGACTTCCTTAATTGCTGCAAAACACTCACAATTCCATGAAGTGAGATATTGATGAGGTATTATTTTGAATAGAGTCCATGGTATGGTGAACCAGGTTTTAAAATGCCCGAGCAAATAAAAAAAAATTATATAGCCAAGTCTTGATGTCTCTATTTTTTAGCTTATTCAGGCAGGCCAGGAACCTTAAATTGCTAGAGTTTTTTTTTTTTTTTGGAGCCTGTGTCAATTTTATTTAAAAACATTAATATATTTTTATGAAACTCGAGACTATATCGTACTTTTTTAAACAAGTGCTCATCTGAGACTAACCATCGAGAGAGTGAAAATAAATCTATATAAAGTAATTAACTTCTTGTGTTTTTTTCCTTTAATAATAATATAAAAACAATTCAAGTATTCGGGATTGCAAATAAAGACTTTTACAGGCTTGCACCCTCAAGATGTGGCCCCATTACTTCTCATTTTTGCAGATCCATGAAAAAGTAAAACAAGAAAACCATCTTCGTTGCTTAAATTAATTCAACCATATATGCATGTCTCAGATTAACATAGTATTAATTTTTTTTGCAGTTAAACACGTGTTCGTGTTAATCTCCTTTTAAAAGGTGAGGGAAATTACAAGCCTTGTACCTCTTTTCCACTCAAGCCAATTTTTATTCATGGTAGAATCTAAGTGGCTCATGTTTATTGAGTTAATTAAGGTCACTTGACTTTGTGAGCCAACAATCCTACTTGGATACATATCCAGAATCATATTTAGGTTCGATTTTAAAAATTTTTATCCTAATATCTATAATTTTTTTCAAACTCTATTTACATTCTGAAGCTCCATCTGCATTATCTTTCTTTTTTCCATTGATGATTAATTATTAACATTTGAGCATTTTTTTTTTGCCTTGATAACTAATTCTAAAAAATTACTCAGACATGTTTAACCATCGAAATCAATTTTTTAAAAAATATTATTCAAATATAATCATGTTTTATTAATCAATATTTTATTAAAAAAATTTGCTAGTTTAAATACAAACACACCTAATATTTCCATGGGCACAGACATTAGCATTAAGTGAACAAGTGGTTCCAAAAATATTAGAGCTGATAATTTGGGTAAGCTAGGTTTAAAATATCCAGCCTTATATTAAAAAAAAATCATATTATCAAGTTTAGCCCTAACATTTTTGGGCTTCAGCTGGCCCGAATACCAAATTTTTTTTATATTTTTACATGTTTTGAATTATTTTTAATTTTTAAGTAACTTTGTTAAATATAAAGTATTGTTTTGACTTTAAAAGAATAAAAGAAAAAATAATCACTTATCAAATTTATATTTAAGTAACTTCTTTGTTGTTTTGTTGTATTATGTGTAATTTTCTTATAGATGTTTCATTTACTTGTAAACAAATGTCTTGGTTATTTAAATATTACTCTTATCATGTTCATATATAAATATCTTATCTATTTTTATTAAATTATATTTTTTTAATTATGATCAAGCTGACTTCAATTTAATCAAGATTAGACTACTAATTTAAAATTATTTACCTAGATAGTTCAAATTTTTTTAATAACTTTTGTATAAACTATACTTTTTATTTTTAAGAATATAAAAAAAAATAGTCATCATTATAGTATATAAAATAATTATTTAATTATGAGTAAAATACTATTTTTTAAATTATTTTTCTTTAAGTTTTTATATTGTTTAACCTCACATATAAGGGGTATTTACTCTAATTTATTCTTAATTTTTAACTAAATCTGTCATGAATGATAACTAAATAATTTTTGAAAGTTATTGTTTTATTTATTTTGTTTATCCAATAATAAAGCAACTAAATAATTTTTCAAAGTTATTGTTTTATTTATTTTGTTTATCTAGTAATAAAGCCAAAAATTTGTACACTCTCAAATTTTATTTTTTAACATTATTTTTAATTTAATTTTTAAATTTAAAATTATATTTCTTATTTTATAAAAAATGTAAAATATATTTTTTTGACACTAAAATGATGTATAGGGCTCAAATCTTTTTAAAAAATATGTAGGTCTTAAAATATAAAAATCAATATATATTTAAAATATTACTTTGAGATATTTTATTGATTGAAAATAATAAAAATATAAAATATAAATATTTTTAATATTTTTTAAATAACTATAGTAATACACTCAAATATATAGTATTTTAATATAAAAATGACATAATATTTAAAAAATTAATAAATATTTATTATATGTTATAGTTTTTAAAAAAATATCTTTATTTAGGTATTTTAGCCAAGCCTAAAGAGAGCCGAATATTAAAAAATATTATTTTTCTGGTAGATTCAAGATGGTCTATTGAGCCAAAACAACTGACTCTAACAAATACAAGGGTGATGCGTGGTAAATTAACCATGATGCCATACCAAAACAAAAATTTATTTGCCAAAGTACTATAAGTTTTAAAGATATTCTTTTATACTATAGATGAGAATTTGGCTTCTACCAAACTAAGTTTTAAAATTTCTCTTTTCTAACACTTTGTATTCAAATCAATTTATGTCAGATCAATTTTAACATAATAATAAAATAAAATAAAAAAATGTTCCAGATTTTTAAAACCTTCTTCTTCTTTTTGCATAGAGTACCAAATATTTTGAGCCTACATTACATCAAGCTAAAAGTGATAATTCAGCCCAGATTCAATGGGCTAGTTTGAATGAACTTAAAAACTCTTAGGGTTGCATTTAGAAATTTATAAACTTTTAGTTTATTCAAGCAACTCAAAAAACCCAAAAAAATTTAAGCTAACTTGGATCAGAATGGTCTCTAAATAAATATCTAAATTCTTTTTTATTATTAAAAATATAAAATTAACACTTACTCAAACTTTCATCTTGTCTTCATAAATCCTCTTCAAGACTTACAGTTCACATATTTTGCATTCTCACGTGAAAGTAACATTTACCATTTTCAAAAGACATTCAAACAAATAATTATTAAAATATTAAAACTTTAATTTATAAAGGCTAAGTGAAAATTGAGATGAATGTTAATTTCATATTATTACTAACAAAAAAGAAATTGGGTACTTCAACAAAACCTATTTGGGTTTAGACTTATTTAGATGGTCAATATAAACTTAAAGTAAAAAAATTTTAAACTCTTAAATATATTTTTTTGAGCTTATTTAGATTTGATTTATTTACCACCTCTAACTCAACACAAGGTGAGTTGATAATATCAAGCTCTCTAAATAAAAAATAAAAAGATGACAAAATTCTTGAATAATTTTTTATTTTATTTTATATGGTTATATTGAAATCAGTTTGACACAAATTAATTTTAAAAAAATTAAAATATGACTTGATAAAAGTTAAATTTTCATTTATAATATAATGTAAAATATTTTTAAATTTATAGCATTTTGAAAAAAAAAATTGAGGGGGGGGGGGGATTGGGGGGGTAATACCGTGGTCAATTTGCCGTGACGAGAAAAGTGATGTCAGAGGGGAACGAAGTGGCTCGAGGGGACTCATCATAATACCCATGGTATGGAACATGCAAGGCGACATTCTTTGATTCCCAGGTGACGTTGGTGTGACATCGTG